GTCAGGGGGCGGCGGGTGTGCGCGGGGACGGGCGGCCGTTCATTCCGGGAGCCGCGCCCAGCGCATCCCCACCTGCGGAGATGGCTGCGGGCCCTGCGGTAGGAGCGGCGCCGGGTGTCGGTCGCGGCCTGGCGAAGGCGGGGCGGGGGGGGTTGTCTGTGTAGCCGGCCACCGGCGCGGGGTGCGTTTCTCCCCCCGCTCCATGCGGCTCCGGGGCTGAGCGATGGAGGCGGCCTCACGGCAGAACTTGGCCGCTGCGCCGAGCCCAAAGGCCGCGGGAGACCCCCCGGCCCTGCGGCCTCCTGACGCCGCGGGGCTGCCTGGCCCCTGCCCGGCCTGGAAAGCGGGGCGGTTGGTGTAGCCCCGGCTCTGTCTGAGGTGCGGCACCGCCTGCCGAGCGTCCTTTTAACTTAACGCTTCTTGGGCGGGAGTTTATTGACGTTTCGGTGTGTTGGGTTTGGTTTTTTGTTTTTTTTTTTTAGGGCTGCCCTACCGAGACATAGAGCTTCAGTGAAACACCAAGCTGCTCCAGCTTCGCGTGCTGTCATGGCGTCACTTCACAGCCTCTCATTTTGCCACCGAAGCCCAGCTTCAAAACAGTTGCTATTTGTTTTTTTTTTTTTTTTTTTTTTTTTTTTTTTTTTTTTTTTTTTTTTTTTTTTTTTTTTTGGTTTTTTTTTTTTTTTTTTTTTGTTTTTTTTTTTTCCTTACCCTGCCTCCTGTTACAGTTGTGGAAACCTAGCACAGCAGGTATTTCTCCGGGTGTCAGAGAGAACCCGAGGAACAGGCTGCGTATCGATGGGTAGGGTATCGATGGGTAGGGCGGTGTTCTCCTCAGCGCAAGCTGTTGTCAGACACAGAGCTTAGTCAGATGTTTAGGGATCCTGACCGCTTCCCGCGGTGTGTTAGAGGCAGAGATGAAATTCTTCTGTGTGCCCGTATGGTGTAAAATCGCTGTGAAACTTTGGTAGAGCCTTATGGTGGGAATGTTGATTTTTTTGCGTATTTATTTTTCTGTCACGAGGGAATTTGCTCTCCAAGGAGCGTGTTCTTTTGGAGAAATTAATATGTGAACTACCTTTATAGGTTGTATTTCATAAAAATACTTCTCTTCTGCAGGTAGCTTTCAGTGTGTATTTCAGCGCTGCACATGATGATGGGTGACAGGGTGCTGCTGATAGGATAGCCCCACCTTCTGGTTAATCCTTCAGTGAAATTATACTTGTGACCTAAGAGATTTTCTGGAAATGATACCTCATGATGTGCGTTGTGAATGCAAGTCTGTGTTGGAAGATCTTTTTGTTTTGGGGGCTGGGAAGTGGCAAGATGATCTTTTCTGGACACCTTCGTATTTTACATCAAGATAATTTTATCGTATGCTGCTCTTCCAGCAGAAAAGAAAAAATCATTGTTAGTTTTTGATGTCTCAGTTCACTGCTGTGTTTGTTTTTTTTATGCCAACATAAATTAAGGGGAGTACATACTCTTTTATGAAAGCTTCATAAGAGTAAGTTCCTCCTATAATGTCTTTCATAAAGGGAGGAAAGGATCCCAAACCGAGGAGTAGTCTTAGTGTGTGGAGTGATACCTGATCTATGTTCATGTGAAGTGATAGCTGCTCTCAGGCTTAGCTTTCAGTTCAGGTTTTGGAGATGGTAGTGCTCATACTCAGGTTTTCGAATTCAAGAAATTCACAAATTGTCTCCAAATGGAAGCTTTTGAACTTGAAAAATATTCAGTTATCTTGGTGGTAGATGGTAACACACAATCAGATGATTTATATTAGTTAGCTTACTGCTACTGGGAGCAGCTTCCCTGAAATTATGTGTGAGAAGCACAATTAGAGAGGCAGAACGCGGGAGAGCGCTCTCTGAAGTCCTCTTGGCTTACAGAAGGAGCTTGCTGTTTCACCTCGTGTTTTGGTTTTGGTCTAGGGAAGGCATTCAGCCTGTCACTCAACAACTTGTCAGCAATGTATCTTATGATTAGAGACTTTGCAGTCTTTAAAATTCATGGTGACACTTTGCTGGGTGTATCTGGGAACCACCTGTTTTTTGGCCCTTGACATGTGAGTTGAAACTTCTCCTTGAATTTCCAGTATCTATGCGCTGCTTGCTCTTAGGAGATTGCTCCCGCGATTTGCATTGCTAATGTCCACAAGAACCGAGTGCTGCTCAGGTCACCCTGGCCCTGGAGTGTAACTGCAGTAACTGAAGTGTTTAAAGTCCTTGAACAACTTGGAGGGGAAGTCAAGTTTCTCGGAGCGAGCATGAGAGCTCTGAACCAGGCAGCTGCTTGTACGAGTGCTTAGGAGGGATTTGTGGTGGCAGTGTATCTCTGGGTGTGTTTTCAAGCCCTGCCACTATCCACAGCTTAACTGTCCGATATCCTGTGCTAAGTATCAAGGAGATTATGAGCTGTTCTGTTTGTGTCCTGGTTACACGGACAATTCAGCATGGTTTATGTTTCGAAATAGGGTTTTGTGACAGTTAAACATAGAAAAAGTGGAAGTAGAGGGGAGGAGGGAGCCCCAAAACATCCTTCACTTCTTTTGCGACAACTGCAGAGGAGACACACCCGAAACTGTCACCCTAAAAGCCTAATGTATTAAAAGGCATGTATAAATTTTCATTTATAAATTTTCTTTAAAAAAAAACCCATTGAGTTTATGAGAAGCAGGATGTCCAAGATTTTGCATACTGAAGGCAGGTAATACTATTTTAATTGCTTCATGTGTAATTCATAAACTAAATGGTACAAATCAAGGTTTTGAAAGTGAGAATCGTTGCTGAGAATTTTATGGACTGTGCGATGACTGTGTTTCTGTGTAAGAATGAGGTGGAATGGCTGGAGATATATTTAAGTAGATAAATTGCAACATGGAGCCACACATTTCTTTTATTTTTTATTTCTATGTTAAAAACAGGCTTGAGAGTTAGCTTTAACTCAGCTGGTGAACCTAGCAAGTTTACTTGTTTGGATTGATTTCTTTACAGACCGACCTTAGCTACCAAGACGGCGTAAGCCAAAGGAGCAGTCACTAGATTAGGTGCTAGAAAGCACCTCTGGCATTTAGCACTGTATTGATGAAGCATTTCCAAGAGCTGGGGAAAGTTACTGGGTCGCCAGTTCTTGTTCGGTTTTTGGTGTAGGAAAATGTTTAGTTTCTATCTATTATGACTGTCCCTTCCCTCCTGGTTATTTTTATTGCCCCCCCTCTTCCTCTCTGTGCCATTTGCCTTCTAATTGATGAAAGGGTTATGCTAGCTGGGCAAGAAGTAGCTGACTTTTGCAGTATTTCTGTCAACTTAAATCATGCAAGCTTTGAATGTGATACTCTGTGAGCCTGGTGATGGCAAGTTAGTCATGTCTTGAAGAGTAACCTTTTGCTTGCTGTGCTAGGAGCTTCTTTCCAGGCAAGAAATGAAGTAGTGTTTTCTCATTTTGCTCTTTTCCCTATATATATATATATATATATATGTATATATATATTTAAAGGACTTGCAATTGGATATTTACAGTTTTTTTTGGTTACATGTGACTAACTTTAAAAACAAAGCTAAGTGGACCGCTGGTAAGCGGCTGCATGGCATAGTTGGCAAGCTGCTGTTCAGGGCTTTAGCGCTTCGGTCTTCTGTGAAGCTTTATGTATGTCATTTTGGATGTTTGGTTATATGCTGCAGTTTATCTAGTCACGTCAAAAAGTCAGCACTTTGCTATAATGCAGCAATGGGTAGACTAATCAGCTGACTTCTTTGTTTCCTACTATAAATATTTATAGTAAAGGGTACAAGGAAGAGGCAGTAGCTGATTTTCAGAAGTATTTTTTTTCTTTCACGAGTAAAGGTTATTAGCCTTTTAATTTTATTTTGAATTTGAAGATTAGACTCTTTTCTACCAAAATAACAAGATTTTTTTGCTACTTAGAGGAGTTGGTTAGCTTTAGACGTTAGATAAAGGGTTATTTTCTGCCATTTCTACATGAAGATTCTTAAATCTGGAAGAAAAGTTTTTCTAGTATCTTGAACAAACTTTTTGCTCGTGGAAGAAATACTTTTAATGTACCCTTAGGTACATTATTGTTTTTTGATGACACTAAAAGCTTTTTGTATACTTGCATATTAAATATTAGGAAGAGGTAACCGTTTAATGTGTACTTAAAGCCATTCTGTCCTAATTCATAATAAAATTTAATTTAAGAAACAGCTGGTCCATTCGTTAGGGACCATTCATTAGGACTTTAATTCCCGTGACACTTCCACAAAGTTAGATTGGGGATGAGAAGAGTATGGTTTTGTTTCCTCGTGCTTGTAGAAGAAGGTGCAGGAACTGGGCTAGGAATAGGCAACTTCAGAAAGTAAATTTTCACTGCCGCGTTAGTTACAACTCTTTATATAGGTGGCTTCTGTTTACTAGGTTGTGGTTGAGTACAATGTAGGATTTGCTCACTTGAAACTTAGTTGTGAAGCTTGGAGGATTTCCCCAGGTTTTCAATCAGTAGAGTTTTAAGTTGGGTATAGGTAACTTTTATGTATTGTACTGTGGATTGACCTTTCAGGATACAAATCAGTTCGTACAAATAACTGTGGCATCTCAAAATACCCTGTGAGAGTTTTAATCTAACACGAACTCTCATGTTCTCTTTAAGGAAATTGTTCACATCTGATAACTTTGCGAATTTGTATGGCTTTAAATAGACATTTTTTCAAAAATACCAGTTTTGCAAAAAAATATTTGTGGAAGATGGTTCTTAGGGTACTGAACTGCGAAACAGTATGTCATGTGTGAATGAGTAAATGATTACATGGCCAAAGGGATTATTTATGGTATAATTTCTAAGCCCTTTGCAAAGAAACAGTCCTTATGGTACAAGAGGATGAGACTGTGGAGGCAGCACCACTGTTTTAATAGCAGTGGGCTGTTCTTACTGCTGCCAAAGGAGGAGCACAGTGCTGTCCTGGTGAATGCCTCTTGCATAATCTCAAGTAACATACTGCAGTTTTCTAGATTGTGCAGGGATATTTGTGGGCTTTTGCTGTATGCTCTGGGTAGTTTGCTTTTTGGTACTAAGATGGTGACTCTTGCTGCCACATGTTGCTGCTCGTCCTAAGTTTTCGACGCAGGGCCTATTTCTACAAGTGCAAATTTACTTACAAAAATAATCTGTTCCTGCAAACAACTTACTTCTACTTGTGGTTTACTTTTCTAACTGTAATATTCTGGAATTAAGATTGCCTAGAGCACAAGGAATGCAGCAGTCTTCTTATATGGTTGTGTTTAAACAGACTTTTTCAGTGACTTTAAAAACAATATTTCAATTTATGAACAGCTGCTGAGACTTCAAGTTATGTGAAATGAAGTGTTATCAAAGGCCAGTTTGCTTCTGGTTTAATGTGCATTGGGACTATAAGGGAGACCCATGTGTACTTCTGTGAGAGGTAGAAGTGTCTTTTGGAATCATACCCCAGAAGACAATCACTTGATCTAGTGGAGAGTTTTGTTTTAACTTTTTTTCTGCCTAGCCCTTATGAAAGTTTGAATCATAACATGTTTTCTCAGTTCATACCTAGTTCCTCTATTTATTTTTTTTTAATTCATTGCTTTTTGACACAGTTCTGTCCTTATAACTTTTGTATTCCTTCCTTTTTGCATAGTGGTTCTTTTACTACTGTAGTGTTTAGAAAGATTTTGCTCAGCTCCTTGCTTCCACTATCTGATGAATAAGTACACAACAAATAATTGACTGACTTTGCTGAGCACTTGTTCATGCTTACTTTTTCTAACCTTTCAAATTAGTAACTCCATGATGAGCATATGTGAAGTCTGAGCTCAGGCTTTGAAAGTACTTTGGGATGCACCTAGCTTTGGGTACAAAGCAAAACATGGAAATGCATACAGATGAATACTCTTCCAAGTTTTGCAAACTTATTGTGATAGAGTTGCACAAAAAGCCTGAAGGTTTGTGTTATCTCTTTGTGAATATGATTTGATACGTGTTTTTTGTAACTCATTTATTTATGATAATAAAATATTTTCTTTTAATCTATAGTGAACAGATTCGAAAAAGGCTTTACTCTATTAAGTATACGGGTTAAGAAAATTACTTTCTGGAGAATAAAACCACAAAAAATAGAATATCCTGCAAGTAAAACAGATTTAATAGTATCAATAAACTTTGTATATCTATACTTGGCTTTGATTTTTCTGTTTTCATTAGATGAAAAGAACTGTATTGGAATGTAATTACAAAGTACTTTGCAGGAAGGTCCTAGTATTAACCAGGGTAAATTTCAGAGGTCTCTGGCTTTGTTAAGGAGTTTATTTTCTAAGGTTTTGTTTGCTTGTTTTTCTTGTGTGTGTGTAATTTTGTTTCTTTAGGTGGTTGGTGTTTTTTTTTTAGGGTGTTTGTGTGGCCTTTTAAGAAAAGAAAATACAAAGATACCTTACTTTTTTTATTTACACTTACCCTTCCACGACAGTCATGTTCCATATTAAAGTATTTTGGTCAATTGCAGCATGTGAATTCTGTTTATGTAAACTCAGAATGTCTTGCAGCTTCAGTAGCAGACACATGATGGTTGTTTTCCCTAAGAGAGAGTTCTAATAGCAGGATTTTAGCATGAGAACTGGATTTTTTTGCAGCCTCCATGGTCTTGAGAGGTAGGCTTTATCTGGCATGTTCTGTACGTTTTGCTTCTGAGCATGTCTGTTTTTGTGGCAGAGTCATTTTGTCCTGTCCTGTCTGACTGCTACTGCTTGCTTGGCTTGCTGTTAGCTTGCCAGGTACTGTTAGATGTGTCTCCCGTGGCAGTTGTTTGAAAACATACTTTTTGGGGAGATTTTCCATTGCAAGAAAATGTTTTTGATGACTGGACAGTCTGGTATGATTCCCAAATACAGGGATATATTTTAAATGTGTGTATAAAAAGCTTCCAGTTTCAGTGAAGAAGAAAAAAGGGGGGGGAAAAAAGGCAACCATAAAAGCAGAGCTGCTGTTGGTTAAAGTAAAGCTTTTGAGCCTCAGATGTGAAGTTACTATGTGTTTAATATATAAGAATTTTTTTCAGATCTGATGTTATCAAAATGATAATGAAAGTGCTCAGCATTGACACATTGTAATGGTGACTCTGCATTTTTTCATGTTATGATTGAAACTTAGAGTAAGGACTAGAGTTTGGTTTTGCGTCCGCATTCTTTACTGTCCATTAGTCATTAATGGGAGGTAAAAGGGAAAGCAATTTACAGTGGATACACTTAACTGCAGGTTCTGGTGCAATTGAGCCATACATTACTGTACTGACTTTAATTTGATTTCTTCAGTTTTATTTAAAGATGGCTTTTCAGAGCATGTATAAATTCTAGCTGGATGGCTTGCAATAAATAAGGGGTATGCTCACTATCCACTGAAATACATGCAGTTTAAGTACCGTAAAGAAGATGCAAGTAGAACTATGTGACAGTGCATGCAATGTATTTGGTTAGTAGCATTTACTTGTTTGGTTTTTTTTTTTAATTCTTTCCATTATTAGGTAGAAGATGGTGAGTAAATTTGACAATTAGGTGGCTTTCTAGTGTGGTATGAAGTTCTTGATATTTGCGTGGAAATGAAAAAAGGTTACTCTAGGAGTGAAGACAAGGAAGCCTGATTTTACTGAAGAGGATTATTATTTATTTGCTTCTTTTTTAAAACAGATGGCATTTTAGGTTTCTCTTCCCTCAAAGCATCAGATCTAGGATCACAAAAGTAAAAGAATATCTAAAATGGGAGTGGGACTGATTTCTGGAAGAATCAGGAGTTGTTTTTGACTGTGCAACAGACACAGCTGTGTGAGATGCAGGTGAATTCTCCTAAACGGGAGACAAACGCATGTCATATAAGGCATGTCTTTGTTTTCCTGCGGAGAAAGAAAGAGGTGACAATTATGTATAATTTCTTGCAGTTCGTGTAATTCGCCTTAGTTTTGGTAGCATTATTACAGTGAATGCAGCTTTCTTATTTGGAACTTTACCTGTCTGGAGAAATTTCCTATGAAGAAGCAGTCTCTTTCCCCTCTGGAGGTAGGAGGATGGAGGAGGTATCTTTGCATAGATAATGTGAAAAGGCAGAGGGAGATTGCACAGAATCCTGCACATATGGGCTTAAAGTTTAACAAGTCAACACTCCCTGCTCTCCTCTGTTCTCCTCCAACTTGAGGCTTATTTTTTTAAATTGTTGTTGTTGGTCTTTTAAATGCAGCTAATTCACCTTCTGCCCTGCTACCACTGCCAGGCAAGTGACATTAAATATGTTTAAAAAGTACATAAGTACATTTAAATTGAGACTTGTGTACTTTCTGCCTTTACTTTTCTATCCTTTATTCAAAATAAACATAATATTAAAAGTTTTAAAAATAGTTTGTAAACGACTTTTGCATCACCTAGTAAGATGTTAAGGATATTTTGTTATTTTAGTATGCATAAATGTTCCACCACAACTCTCCAGATTGCTGATATATGCATTTCTATCTCTCTTCTTTTTCTCCCTGCTCCTTCTTACTGTTTGGTGTTTTTTGTTTTGTTTGGTTTTTTTTAAGAAGTTCCTGTGCTTTTTTTTAACTGCTTTTCCCCTTGACCTGGAGCATTTGAGCATTTGCACATTACTGCTTGCTGAAATACTTTGTGGTGAATTTAGAGCAAAACAAATTAAGACCTTGCAGTTCAAGATAGTTCAGCTCTGTAGCTGGCTCCACTTGTACAGCAGTTCAGTACACTATAATATGTAGAAGCTGTTGGCACTGGCAGACTGTTCATCATCTGTCTGACAGCGGGTCAACACTGCAAGCAAAACAGCACTTGGCTACTTGAATACAAGAATCCAGTATTTTCTGCCCAGTAAGACCTGCAATCTGGTTAGAATAATCCAGACTTTACAATTTATGAAGTTGTCTGCATTGTGATGGACACAGCTGTTCTCTTGTAACTATTGATTTTTCTTTAAAGGAACTCAAGATAGTTTACACTTGAAGGGTACTTGAACAAATCTAGAACACCTGTTAACTTGAGTCAAGCTGGAATTCATGTGAAAAGCTGAGCATTTGCTTCCTGGCTGCAGGGAAAAGATTCTGCTTTCAGGTAAGTCTGGAAATAAGCTTGCTTCATGCTTCATCGACTTTAGGTTTTTAGCAATTGTAGAGTCATAAAAACCTGATTATGTGCTGAACAACCAGGATTTTTGAGAAGTCTTACAAATTTTTTTTTATTGGAGGGGAGGAAGGGTGGGTGTTCTGTATGTGTGCTTGACTGAATTTCTTGCCTGCATTTCCTAAGAGAACAAGTGCTTTATCATCTTAGATCTCACCACCCATATCTCTGAACATAATTTTTCTCCTTTACTCTGTCTTCTGTCTTCAGACTAGCCATTGTGCCCTTTGAGAATGCTGGTTTTTTGTTTGCTTGTTTGTTTTTTTTTCCTAGTGGGAGTGTTTGTCATTCCTACTAAATCTCAAATGGTATTGAGGTTCAGTTAATGGTGCTGTAGACTGCAACCTTAATTGCTTGGAGGCACCATTTGAGGAAGCAGTGTACCCTGAGGACACTATGTCCTTAAAAGGATAGGAAAATTGAGTCCTTAGCACGATATGGTTTCTGTCCAAGTAATGTATTCAGGTCTTGCTTAAATAAGAACACCAAACACTCTATGTTTCTCACTATGCCTCTAGTCCTAGTTATCCTATAGATATATGAAATGGCAGTCATAAATAAGTATGTTGTGGCATCTCACAACATTGTCAATTAAGTTTAAAGAAGAGTATTTACTAGCTTCAGCAAAAGCTTTCTTCCATAAAATTCTGTCATGGACATGAAAATATTGTCTGTTAAGTAACTGTTATGAATTTCTATTTTATTATAATCAGACTGAGCTTGGTAGGACTGAACTATAATGCAAAATCATACTCTGTACTTTTATTGCAATAGTTTATTTTAAAAGCCAGATCAAATAGATTGAAGAGAGGAGAGCTTGTGACAGTGTGGAGAAATGCAATCAATGTGAATTAACTTATTTAACACTTCTAGTGTAGAGACATCCAATATGGTGGTAGCATTTCATCATTAAAGAACAAAAGACATTGCTAATTTGTAGCTTAATATCTTTCAGTTATCGGAGATGGTGATTTGAAGAATCAGGTTTCCGATATGAACAAAGGAAAAACATCATCTGAAAAAAGGTAAATTTAAAACTATAGTGGCTTCTCAACAGTCAAGCTATTTGAGATTTGTGAAAAAGCAGTCTTTATTTTAATAATAAAATAAAATATACATTTGGGTCCCTAATAAGTATGTATAAGTTGATGTCCTGAAACATTGAGAAAGTCAATATTGATGAGCATCAAGTAGCTTCACATTTAATAAATAACTTCTTAAATTAAAAAAATTCAGTTAGTGTTCAAATGCAAAATATACATTAAATTTAATTGAAACTATTATCAATAAATTTAATAGTTTCCCACAAATATTGTCAAAACATAGGATTACTTTTACTGAAGGAATTGAAGGACAAGTTTATGATACAATATAAGAAGCCGTGATTTTGTCATAGATATATCGTTCTCCAACAATCCTGCAATCCAATGCACAGCTAGGACAAAGAAGAGTGAGATTACCCAGTTCAAGAGGGACAGGGAACTACTGGAAAGAGTCCAGCGTAGGGCTACAAAGATGATTCAAGGATTGGAGCATCTCCCTTATGAGGAGAGACTGAGAGAGCTGGGACTCTTTAGTCTGGAGAAGAGAAGGCTGAGGGGAGACCTTATCAACGCCTACAAGTATCTCAAGGGAGGGTTGAAGGAGGAGGGAGCCAGACTCTTTTCAGCGGTTCCCACCGAGAGGACGAGGGGCAACGGGCACAAGCTGGAACATAAGAGGTTCCACTCAAATATGAGGAGAAACTTCTTCACGGTGAGGGTGACGGAGCCCTGGAACAGGCTGCCCAGGGAGGTTGTGGAGTCCCCTTCTTTGGAGATTTTCAAAACCCGCCTGGATGCAGCCCTGAGTGATGTGCTCTGGGCAATCCTGCTTCAGCAGGGGAGTTGGACTAGATGATCTCTATGGTCCCTTCCAACTCTAGAAATTCAGTGAAATTCAGTGAAATTACAGAAGACTTCAAGAGTTGAAAAGTTGTGTTTGTTCTTTTAATGATAACTTGTTTTAGCAAATATCAGAAAAAGTTACGAGATTATCTGTGGAAAGCAACATGTCTGTTAAGCGTCAGGAAACTATTGAAACACTTTCAATCTTACTCTTTACCTTAAGCTATCACAGGTTAAAACACCTGGTTAAATCAAACCATCTGATCAGGTATAACAAAAAAAGAACATTCTAAAGGTGGCAAAATATGGAATTTTGGCTTCAGTTTTAGTTTTCTGAAATACTAATTATTTTCAAAATGAGTAGATGAATTTGCATGAAGAACATGTTCTACTGTGTATTAATGTTATATCTTCGGATGGATTTAAAATTCGAATTTAAATGCTTGCATGTAGAATCATATTTGTTTTTGCTGACTTCAGCAGTGCAATGGCTTGATATCAGAGACTAGCTGTTCCAGTTTTGTTTGAGAGATAGATCAAAAGAAATAGTAAAGAAACTATTAAGTTTTCTACTTACGGTATATTAGTTTCTTAGGTATTATGTCGAACTCTCAGTCAGCAGTGGGTATTCTTTGAGATACTACTAATTATAATACGTAAAGTGTACCATCACAAAGAATATTATATTTGTTTCCATCCTGCAATTCAAAACAGTTGTTGCCTAAGCCATGAATATATTATGGTGAATTTATTGCACAGAGATAGCTATGAACTAATCTGAGGTGTTAGCTTGCTAAAGATTATTTGGTAACTGGGGAGATGGTTGGGTAAAAAAAAATTGTAAATGGTTTGCATTGGAATAAAATTAAAACAAACTCATGAGAAGCCTACCTACTTTAAAGTATTTTTTTAAAGGCTCACTGTAACATGCTGAAACACACAACTTGTTTGCTGTGGGCAAAGAAGTCACACCCTGATACTTCAATGTGCTGACCAGTCAGCCAGCAGTTTCAGAGGAAGTAGGTACAGTTGGGAAACTGAAGGTTTCTGATTACTTCCTTCAGTTGACTGTTATCTTTTGGAAAGCTGCTCGCAAGATGACTAGTCAAAACCATTCTAAGATAACTGAATTTTTATGAACTGCCATGACAGCCGTTAGAGTTACCTTTTTCATAGTGAGCACTTAAAAAGATGTAACGATGTGTTTTAGTGTTTGCATAGTGGAAGTCTTGTACAGTGAGTGGAGAGTTGTGAATCTAGCACTTCGTTATAATCAAAGAAAGAATGCTTAAACTGAGTCAGTGGGACTGAAATAAATGTTCCTACCATGAGGGATCTTTCTTTGAGAAGATACTTTCTTTTTGATGGAGTTTGCTTTCAGACATGAACCCTTGGCATCCTCTGTTCCTCACTGTCTGGGCAGTTGCTTTCTCTATATCTAGTCATAGCTTTCTAAACCAGCGAAGTAGGAAATCCACAAAGCTCTCTCGTTAGCTAGAGTCACACTCTAGGCTTTGGCAACAGTTGAGATGATGGCAAACTTGTTCATGCTTCCTTTCTGCAAGTAAGATGGTCACGTGAGGGGTGTTTTGAGCTGCAGCATTTGAACGTGGGATGGAGAAGGTGTTTCCTGCGTATGGAGCCATGCAGCATATGGGATGAAAAAGCCTGGTAAAATTCACCTCGGAATGCTTATTCTGGGTTTCTAAATCCATCCCAGAATAATAATTATCAGTTGTCTTCAGAACTCATGAGATTTGGGTTAAGTAGTGAAAGACAGAGATGGCAAACCTAGTGGTTGTGTCTGTGAGAGTCAGGAAGCAGAAATCAAGTAGCTGTAGGTCAGCCACCTTCTCTTCTTAGCACAGAAGATCCTGGAAGAGCTAACCAAATTGGGTGAGTCTGGGAATAGCCAATGGTGGTTTGAGATGACCTTGAAAAAAGCATCTGATTTTTCATGTTTTCCTGCTCTCATGGGCAGGAAAGTGGCATTAAAGTACCACAGATGTGTTTAAAGCTTTACTAAAATAACCATTGCGTATGACTGCCATTAGGAAGCTAAATCAAGTGCTCCATCCAAGTGCTCTGAAATAGAGCACTGACTGGATACCAGAGCAGCAGGAGTTGGTTGCTGTCAGAAGGAAACGATGCAGTTTGTTTCTGCACATGCTCGCTCTTTCTGGTTACAGTTAATAACTGAACATATTTTGAGCTTTGACTAATGTTCTGAAGGAGAAGAAAGAGTTCTTATTAACATTATGTGGGCTCAGTGAAAGGCCACTCACATAGTTAAGATTTACTTGCATCTGGAGCAGCAGTGTGTGCCAGTAGTGACCTTGAGAGCAGGGGAGGAGTGAGACATACAAGTTTTGCATCCTGAAGCACATCCTGACAAAAAACAGAGCACAGTCTGGGAACTGAAACCTGTCTTGATAGTAGAATAATTGTTATTGTGATAAGCTCAGTAGAAGGTAAAAAAATATTTTTGTAAGTCCATGATTGGGCATTATGGGGGGAGTAGGTTTTTTGTGTAGCAGTAAAGATGGTTGAATTGGATTTTTGGATTCGCTTACTGCATGACCTACGAGTCCGTGATTTCTTCATACACCACAACATTACAGAGAACTTGAAGCTGGAAAGATCTGCAAAAGTATTAGAGGACCAAATTATTTCAAAATGCTCTTGTGAAATGCAGAAAATGGTTAAGAATATTTGATGGAAATACGTGCAAGGTCCTGTGCTTGGAGAGGCATACCCCTGGAACAGATAAAGGGCAGTCACATCTGTAGTGAGGAGAGCCAGAAATAGAAAGATTAAACCACAGGGAGAAAAACTTCAAAATGAAGGGAATCAATGTGTTAGAATAAAGTTGCCTTTGGTTATTGTATCACTATTTTCGAAGGCTGTTAAGGACTGGCTGGGCATCTCTGTCATGAAGAGCATCTGTGGTCTTCATCCAGCTCTGTAGAATTATATGGCTTTACAAAGTTTCTTCTGGTCCTCCTTAGTCATGTTTTTTATAACTAAGGATGGAAGAGACTATGTAACCTTCAGTGACTACAGAGTGTTCTTGTGAGAGGACTTTGAAACCGGCTGGGTGAAAAATGTCTCTTTTTATTAAGAATAAGGATTCTTCAAATTGTGGTAAAACAGGTCTTGTATGAAAGACTGGCCTCAGTGTTCAGGGTGTTCACAGGTTTTGAAATGTCAGCAGCTTTAGAGGGAATCAAGCTCTGACAGCACACAGGTTTTTATTGTGCCGTTTTGACTATTTTCATGGTTAACCTAGCTGTTGGATAAAAAATACTGAATTCCATGGGATTTTTCTGTTTTTGGCGAGCTATCGTCTACATCTGGATCCTGAACAGTTTGTTGGTTGAAACATACGTATTTGCATTGGAAATACCGGAATAAGTCCCATTGCAAATTGGGCTTGCATTTTGCTCTTGGGTCAAATAAGTAGTCATGTAAGCAGTATTATGTACAGGAGCAGAGTCAGTCAGGCTTGCTGCTGTAATTCTTGTCCTACAGCCGTTTGATATACCATGCAGACATCAAAAGCTGTCACAGCATTATAGCCACTATGTATACTAGTGAAGAATATTAATAAATAAGTGTACAATTCTTGTTTTAAGAAGAAAACTCAGCCTTAACTAAGAGGAAATCAGGACTTTAATTTATATTTCAGCGTAGACTCTGGGCTGGTATTATTTTCAAGGACACTTTATTGGGGATCTTGAAGATGTGAAATTTATTTTGCTATATTTCTGTTCGAATACTTTTTGCAAGATGAATAGCCTAAAATAATTCTAAAGGTATTTCCTTAACTGCTTCAATGAGTGCTCATTGCTCTTGATAGAAACCCTGACCCCAGAAGGAGATTATACCTCTAAAATTGTTATACCACCCAGTAGTGAGAATTACTTACCCTTCCTAAGCAAAAAGCTTTTAAAACTTTTTGTGAGTATGGAGAAATCATGTTAAATACTGACCTTCTGTACATGGCATATTCCTTCCATGTAACAGTGTTTGGATTTTGCAGGCTGCAGCAATGAAAAATCGGGTTTGCTCTCAAATTTTAATACCTGTAAATGAGTTTTGTCTTTATGAAAACTTAGATTTTCCTTTTTTGTTTGTTCCTAAGGATCATATTTGCTTTCTTGGATTGTTTCCAGCTTTCAAACTACTATTTCATTGTGAGACCAATGATAGACAACAATGGAAATTATATATACATGTATATATAAAAACACACACAAATTGAAGCAGCATTTTTCTTATACATTGGCTTATATGTCGGTTGGTTGGACTCTAAAGGTTTAGATTGTGGAGCTGGTGAAGATAACATCCTTTGGAATTCTGTCAGCTAGTGTTTCAGATCAACGAACATTGTGGATTTCATTAAAAACTTGGGTTTATTTTGCAGTATTTCAAGTTCAGTGGGTAAATGGAGGAGTAAAAATAAATAAAACAAAGCTTATGCAAATAATAGTGGTTTTATACTATTCAACCTGATTTGGATGATGAGAAAGTACTGGAAGGATTATGACTTATTTATACAAGGAAAATAATATTTCAGCAACCAAGACAGATTTCTTTCAGACCAAAAACATACTTTTAACTCATAAAGTCTAGCAAATAACTGAGGTCATAACACTTACTTCTCAATATAAAATTATTTTGATGCAAGTTCTATGATTGTATTTCTTAGTATTGATGTTAACAGCTTGTAATTATCATCTGTAATCTGAATTTTTTTTTTTCCAGTTATTCATATGTCGGTGTGGATAAACGAAAGTGGTAGAATCAGTTTCTTTAGCAGTTGTTGTATCAATTTGTTTTCACAGCAATACAACCTTTGCTGTCAGCTACCTTTTTCTTTGATTTTAACATTTTTGTGCACATCTAAACTAATAATTTTAGTAGGGCTAACTGTAAGTTTGAAACCTTTTCACAGATGTAAAATACAAACCAAGGAGTAATATTTCCTCATCCTTATAAACACAACTGACAGTATTTATAAAGCTGATGTTGCATACTCTAGTTTTATTGCAGATAGCCAGAACCGTATGCGTGTAAAAAGAATTATTGATGATTATTGCAGGGCTCTAAAGTTACAAAAGTTAAGTCAAGGTAGTTAATCCATGGAAATCATAATTTCCTGTAGTTAATTACGTGACTATAATTCAAATGGTAAACATTTGTCTAAAAATTACTTTCATGTGGGAACGTGAATTTCAAAACCATTCTGAATAATTGTTTCAATCTAAAACTGGAGAGCAAATAAACCAGTTTCTAGACAGACTCTGTTTGGAATACTAGAAGTATTTGCATTCATTCTTTCTGTGTAATCTTCCAGTCTGTATGAATGTGTGATTTGAAATAGTTTCTTGTATTAAAATCCATTTTCCAGGCAATTTTATGATGTCAGGCCAAAAGACCCATTGTGTTCAAAACAAATCCAAACTCTGTTGACAGCTTTGAACACCTTCCAACATTTTTTTTTCAAAATGATGGGTGCTGGTTTGCTCACATCATGAATGGTAGTCTTTTTCTTTCACTCCCAAAACACCAGCCTGTAAGGCAAACAGTCTTTGGGACTGTTTATAGATAGTGTTTCCTTGAGTAGCAGGTTTGCTAAAGTATCCTGGCACTTAACATAAGCTATATCAAATATAAGTTACTCTAATTGACACGGATAAACAACATTTGTACCTATATCTTGATTTTATTTGCTGCAACCAATTTCTCTGTCCACAGTTGCTCTTGGAGATGCTGTTACGTATAATTAGTCTGCTGCAATGCAGGCTTTGCAAAATCTGTAAGTTTGCCAGGATTAAGGAGAATTAAGACTGTTTTCCAATTGAGATAAAATGTAAAGGTGAATGAGCCACTCCCCTTACTCTGACATGGGATTTCTGTTGGTGGGATTTTTTCTCTGATCTAGATGGAAAAATGATTGTAAAAAACCTTTCTTGTAGTGTTTCCACCAGTTCTCGGACTATGTCTCTGCTGTCACAGCTGGAGAAGATAAATTTGGACTCTGTATTAGGAGAAGCAGACAATGCCAGATATGTTACCTCAAAGATCCTTCATCTGGTTCAGAGTCAAGGTAAATATCTAGTTTTAGTAGTTTGTTTTGAGCCTGCCTTCTTGTATTTCTTCCTTGTTGAACTTCTGAATTTTTGTCTCTGTTTGGTGGACTGGATTATCCATCCATGTTTGTCACTGATTGTTGAAAGTACCTGTTTAAGGCCATGTTTATTGCTGTCTCATTATAATATTGGTTACATTGAGTGCATTTTCTATTGTCATACAGCTATAATTTGAGTAATAATTCACAGTGTATGTATACGTGTGTATGCATGTATGAGACGTAGAAGTATCTGGAAGAGAGCTTTGTTACAGATTTTTTTCTTTACAGGATTTTTCCTAGGACACAACAAGATTGTTGAACAAGTGAAAGTAAAAATGAGTTTTAGAATCACTTATGTCTTTTACTTATTTTAGTTTATTTTATATACATAGATCGTATTATTTGCAGTGTAGATTTTCCAATCAGTCTGTGTATGATCCCTTTTTCTTTTCTTCTGCAAGCTAGGATATTAAAAGAAAAATGGTCTTTTTCTCATTGGCAGAAAAAACCAGGAAGGAGATGACTTCTAAGGGCTCTACTGGAATAGAAGTTATCCTGTCAACCCTAGAGGTAAAACCTTTTAATTTGTGTGGTTTTGGGTACATGGCAAGTTTTCATTTTACCACTGGGCTTTGTATTATTAAATATGTTGTTATTGTAGCTAGTCTCCAAAACTTGCGTAGGACTGTAATGATTAGATACAGTCTACAAGTATCATAGCCTACTTAGGTATGTATCTCCCTTATTTTTAAATATTCTAAGAAATACAATATTTTGCCATGCTACAAACTCGATTTCACTTGGTTTTGTGGCTGATTGTGTAGTTGGGATGGTTAGATAGGTGGTTACATCTTAAGTTATGTTTGATTTGGCAGTTTCTTCGAGCATTAAGTATCTAAACCACTGTATTAGACTTCTACATTAAGCAAAGAAATCTTTCTGGCTTTTATTGCAGAATACAAAAGATCCTCAGACTATTCTTAATATATTGAACATTCTCATTGAGGTAGTCTCAGTTGGTAAGTTTTCATTAAGGAGCAATTTTTGACTATGTTTCTGTATTCTTCTGCAGACTTTTGGGTTTCTTGGGATATTTTTGTGTGTGTCTTTTGGGTTTGTTTGTTTGTTTGTTTCTGATGTTTCCTAAAGCTTATTTGTATGAAGAACAAAAAGAATATAAAGACTGAAGTCAACTTTCAAATAATCATACACAAATATTTTATGTTGCTGTAAGTCTAAGTCCAGCATGTTCTTGCATACTGCAGTCACATATGAGGAAAATTATTGCTGTTCTAAAGACTTACTTTATGGTAACTGTAGCTTAGATACTTAACTGTTCTTTGGCTGCAGAGATTACAGTTGAGTTTTATTTTCTAGGTGGTGGTCGGAGAGCAGGCGTCTTAGTCACTAAAGGAGGGACACAGATCTTACTGCAGCTGCTTTTGACTGCCAGCAAAGACTCTCCACCAAATGAAGAATTAATGGTGCTTCTTCATACTCTTCTAGCAAAAATTGGTCCAAAAGGTGATAATGATATACTTAAATAATATGGATTAATATTTTACAATTTTATAATTGAAACGTAAGAAAAGTTTTACTTTCTAATATTATATAAACATCCATGTACTCAGAATTGATAGAGGAGAACAAAAGGAGAACTAAAATAGAGAGGAGGGAAGAATGTTGAAAAAAGATATGCAGACTTGATATTATCAGTAGAAGGAATTGACAGTTCATTTAACTTTTATTTTTTTATAATAATCTCAAAATTAGTGGGATTGATCTTGTGTTTTTTTGATGTCAGATAAAAAGATTGGCATGAAAGCAAGAATTAATGGTGCCCTAAATATATCATTGAACTTAGTGAAGCAGAATTTGCAGAACCCCAAGCTAATATTGCCATGTCTTCAAGTATTAAGAGTTTATTCAACTAACTGTAAGTATTGCAGATAATTATTTTCTTTCCCATGTGATACAGAGTTTTTTACTTAGGTATGGTTAAAATATTGGTTTAAGTGCTTGTTTACTGTTAGGTGCTTAAAATAAATATTTTTATCTGAGAATTTGCTTTCTATATCATCAGGTTGCTTAAATTCTAATAAAAGCTGTGAAGCATTTTTGTAGTTGTTGCGTATCTCTGTTTTTTGTTCTCTCTGTGTGTATATATATGTGTGTGTGTATATATGTAGTTCGGGGAGGTTTTAACCAATGCTCTTGGATGTGCCAAATTTTGGCTTGTCTAATGTGCATAAATGCTGATGCATTAAGATCTAAACCAGAAAAGGTTGCAAAAGTACTTCAAATGAAATAATTATTCTTTCTTGTACGTGTTTATGGGTTTTTTGTTTTTATAATTCTATTTCATTCTTGATTGCTAATTTAAAACTTGGTTCACACAGGAAATATTTTATTTCTTTATTTAACCTTTTCCTTATTGCTTTCATTGAAGTGCCCTACTGTTGGACTAATATTCTTTCACAAGAGATTAATTTTTTGTTTGGGAAGGCATTAGGAAGTTGACGAAAATAGTGTGGTTCTTGCTTATCTCTACAGTCAGTTAGATGCTTTGAAGTTTTTCCTTTGAGTTCAGAATGGCCATTAAACCTCTTAAATAAGTGCAGTGCAAGAAACTTAAAACATAACCACATTCCTCTAAGATAATTGATTTGATGATCTGTGAGATTATGTTTTAAGTACATTCACATGAGCACCTGTAATTCATAAAGTCCCAATACTTTTAAAATGTGGAAGCTTTATTTCTGTTTGAGCTGTCTAATAATGAGATAAAATGCTTCTAAATTGAAGAGTTTAACACAGGTAGTTGTGTAACTTAGCTGAAAACTTACTTAATCCTGAAAGTAGAAAATTGAACTGAGCCTGTAATTCGGATTCTGTTTATATCAGTTTTATCTTTCTGTATTTCCCTTTCCTTATAAACAGAAAAAAGTAGTAGCTTATTACATTCCAATGGATAGTACTATTTAAAGTTTGTGTACAGTTACTACCAGAATAGAGTCCTAACTTTACTTAGCAGCAACTTTTCACCACTAGAATCTAATGATGATGAAATTGCAGCTTTGGTACAAGTACTAAACTCAACACTAATAATGGCATTTGTTATGTTGAAGTCAATTCTTAGTTGCTCTCTTCCTACTTCGTTAGGCCTATGTATCGCAAAACTCAGTCAGGAATTGAATTTCTGTGCCTGCTTCAGCAGTTTGTATTTTTGATGGGCGTTGAGCTTCAGCCATACGTACATTGGGTGTGCGTTTCTTGAATATAGGATTTAGCATAATTTCTGTTAAGTTGTGCCCTTTCAAATAGATTATTTTTATATTTTTTTTTCTTTTTTTTTCTCCTGAGAACAAACACACATAACGTGTAGCTCAGGAAAGCTTATACCAATTGAACACTTGGCTTTCAAAGCCTGGTGGACATACTTGTCTGTCCTGATACTGAAGGATAATAGCAAGTCCTAGAACTTTAATAGACTTGGAATTTTAGAAACCCTGCTGTCTTGTTAAACTGTGAGGTGTTTCTTTTTAAAAGACAATTCTTCTTTTTAGTAGGCAAATATTATTTTTTTTAATATATCTTAATAACAAAGCAGAAGCATGCATTGGAAGTAGTACTTGATTCTATTTGTAAAGCAATAATACTTTTTCTTCTTTTTCAAGTTTTAACAGGATTGGATTATTACACTAATTATGTGTAGTGTCTGCTTGTCTTTGTATGTCTTAAAGCAAAAACATGTCAGACTTAAGTTTACTTAAAAATTAGCTCACATAGATTTTAGTTTGAGTATATTGATTTTTGCTGTTGCCTTTCTTATTACACTATCTTAAAATTGATTGGTTTTAACTTTTCCAGCTGTAAATGCAGTGTCCTTGGGAAAGAATGGAGTGGTAGAACTGATGTTTAAGATCATTGGCCCTTTTACTAAAAAGAACACTAGCCTTATGAAGTAAGTAAGGTCTCTTTAATATAGTATATGGAAAAACCTTAGATATGTTTCAAACCTTACTTGTAAATGAAAAATATTAGAGAAATAAAATGTAACTCATAGATGAAAGTTAAAGTAAAGGGAGGTGGGAAGGAGAACCACAAATCTGATAGTTTAATTTTATCCAGTAGAGTAGCACCAAATATTTGAATATCTAGTTTATAAAAGAATATAAATGTTATTTTTTATTTCTAATATTTCTGCATGGAAACTGTACCATGGTTATTCCCAAGTCAGGGCACACCGATCAAGACAATCCCATCATTTTTCAATTTGTTGAGTTAGTTCCCACATGTCCCTTATGCTTTTAGAGTGACACTATTTGTTTTACTTTGTAATGGAATTTTCTTTCTGTTTTGCTTCAGAGCAAAACTCTCAGAGCAAAAATATAAAACATACAGTAGGAAGTACCAGCAATATCTGTGTAGTTGGCTACTGTGTCTTCTAAAAAAATATAAATTCACTGCATACCTTTAAGTGGTGACTGTTGGTGACTTCAGTTCCCCCGCAACCATATATTGGTTTGGGGGGATTTTTTTGGTTTTTTTGAGTGAATTTAGCGTAAAAATAGATAAGTGGATCTAACTGGAGATAGCCCTTCCTTTATACACTACTACCCTTTTGAAGTACACACCTGTGGAAAACTGAATTTTTCATCTGGTTAGCAAAATAATAATCTCATGTTGTTCATATTCTAACTTTAGTATAAAAGAAATAGTGTTATGTTACCTAAATCTGGTATTTGTGGTCACTGGAGTATCTTTTTTAAAAAATGCCTTGCCTCTTTAAGCCCGAGCTAAAATTAGACATATGAATGTATTATTCCATGATGTGAGTAGTCATGATATCCTTGTTTATGGTCTAAGATCAGATGAGTGAAGTCTCATTTTAGAAAGAGAGTAAGAATAAGTATATATGTTTTCTAGTTATATCTCTTGAGTTAATTGAAACAAGATCTTTGTGTAGAAGAAAAATCTTATGTTGATGATCTTGTGTTGTAGTACAGATTGATGAGCATTGCTCCTCAATGTATTCATACAGTGCCAGTTTTGACTTACAGTTTTCTAAAATAGTGGCCTTTACTTTGTGAAAGTATTTGTTCTACTGCTAACATAAAACCATAAGTTTCTGAAGTATCTTGTCAATTTAGTATGGTTCGTAAACACTACATTGTCACTTACAGTGTTTTGGGTTTTTTTGCAAAGGCTGAAAATTTGTATAGCCATTACACTGATGATTTTAAATTTCACCATCAGACTTCAGGTGTAGCAGAGATGCATGATATTCTAGTAAAATCAAATTTTAAAAGCTACGTCTCTGATACAGTGCAACCAGGAAAATGTGAGGATAGATGCTAAATAAATCTGTTAGCAGTGAATATTTTGCATAGCTTTATAGTGTTGTAGATTAAGCTTACTGGTTGGTTGTTGTTTTGACTTTTTTTGTTATGTTGACAGGGTTGCATTAGATACACTTGCTGCATTGCTAAAATCAAGTAAGTGTTTGACTACAATAAACTGTTTGTCTAGTTGAGTGAGATATATGTGTGTGTGTGTATATATGTGTATATGTATATATACACACAGAGTAAAATTGAAATTAAGTCCGTGGCCAAAACAAAATCAAGGCTAGGAAATTTAGAAATAAGGCTACTGTTTTATTGGCAATCTCTGGGACTTTAGTATATATGTGGTACATACGTTTATGCTTAATAATTAGTTACTGACTGTCCCTCAGTTACACAGCAGAAATGCTGCACTGCTTCTGCAGAACTGATCTGGATCCAAGGTGGAGAAATGGCCTTTTACAGTCACTCACCTCAGCCTTTCAGTAACAGATATCTGTAGATTTACTCTTGTACATTGTCTTTATACATGTACCTAAAAGTATCTGTTGGTTGGCAGGGGAAAATACAGGGTTTCTTTAGGTACCTTTCTGAGTAATTAGGTCTTGAGTCCTAATGACAAGTCGTCAGCGATACTCATGAAGTGGAACTAAGGCTAATGAAACAATGGTCTGTTCCCAGACACTGGCTATCTTGGCCATCAGCAGTGGCTCCTGACAAATGTCACCTCTGCAGATTTTGCACCAGTACTGTAAGTGAGAAGGAATTAAAACCTCATCCTCTCCAAACAGTTGTATAAAAGCTACAGCATTCATAGTAGCTTTAGTGGAGTTGAATGAGAACTGAGAATTATTAGATTTGCAGAAAACCATTTCAGACAAATGACAGAAAACTTCTGCACTGGTTATTACAGGATGCTGAATTTTCTCATGTTTGATCAGTGTGATAACTTGGTCTTACAGACTTTTGTATTTACTAATTTTGGGATATCTCCTTGGGAAATTTAGGGGAAGAAATATTTCTGAATTATTGTCAGTGTTGTGTTCTGTAAATTGCCAGTTAAACTGTAATGTTAGGGAAAGAAATAAAATGTTGAAAAGGTGGATCTTGAAAACAAGAGGTCTTGTGCATTTATTTTGAGATGCCTTGTTCAGTCCTAAGGGGTTTTGACATTGCAACTTCCTACACTTCAGATAAGTAAATCTTTTCGTAAAAACACTAATCTCTGGTGTGTACAGTCCAGTTGTTATACTAATTTTCCAGTATTCGGGGTGGAGGTATTTTTGAGTTTATCCAATTTGAGCAATAGCTGCTGCAAAACAATATGGATTACAAATGGTAAGAAGTTTATTTCAAATCTTGTAGCTGTACAGTATTTGTGGATAAAGATAGATATGCTTTATATAAACACCTTTTTTTTTTTTCTTTTTTTTTTTTTTTTTAAATTTGGCAGCTAAAGTATCTTACAATGACCTTCAAGTGTAATGCACACTGTTCTTCTGGTAAACCATGAACATGACATCTAATGTTATTCTGAAGAATGAAGTGTAGACTACTGGCCTGAGTTACTCAGTCATTTCTGTTTAGGTTGATGTAAAACTGTTAAGTGTGGCTAGAATACTACTTTAAATGAAACAATTCAGTTATTTGGTTAAAAAGAATAATTTTAACATTGATTGGAAAATAATGTTGAAGTCATTGGGCAATTTTTAATTTTCTTTCCTACCTTTTTTTGTAAAGAAACAAATGCCAGGAGAGCAGTAGACAGAGGATATGTCCAGGTGCTTTTAACGATTTATGTTGATTGGCACCGTCATGATAGTCGACACAGATACATGCTGATACGGAAAGGAGTTCTACAGTGCATTAAAAGTGTTACAAACATCAAATTGGGAAGAAAGGCATTCATTGATGCCAATGGGATGAAAATTCTTTACAACACTTCACAAGTAAGTTTATCTCCGTTGTGATTTTTTTGGTTGTTTTTGCCTCTTCAGCTTTAAAGACACATCCTGGCTTTAAAGTTGTCATAATTCCTTTATGATTTTTATGATCATTCCTGCTTATGGGGGGTAACGATTATTTTTCTGTACTTGAGTGAAGTGGAATGAAAGTAGAAAACTAAATTTACATTTGGTATTATTTGGCTGTGACTATCTTAGGGAGGGGCTGTTGAACTTAATTTTAAAAAGGGAGGGGAATGTCTTTTAATTTTGAAGTTTGGGTTTTTAATAATGTTAAATTGAGGTGGTAGAAGTTCTTCTGGACTTCAAAAGAGACATTAACAACATTTATTGTAAAGAAAACACCTTGTTATTAGTGAATTCTAGAAATCTGTAAAACAAATGTAGTTTAACTGTTTGTTTGAGAGATCCTTTTCATTATTTTCCTGTTAATAGGAGTGCCTTGCAGTAAGAACTCTTGACCCCCTTGTCAACACATCCAGCCTAATAATGAGAAAATGTTTTCCTAAAAATCGTCTTCCTTTACCAACTATAAAAAGTGCTTTCCATTTCCAACTCCCAGTTATTCCTTCCAGTGGTCCTGTGGCTCAGCTGTACAATTTGCCTCCTGATGGTATGGTAATTTTGTAATATTTTGTCTTTTATTTAGTATGTCTAACATTGCTTTATGTAAGGTGGAATGAATTGTAATTATTTGAGTTCTCCACTGGAACTTGGACTCTGAGACTCTTCTCAGCTAGTAAAGGGTCTGTGACTGTTAGTGTAGAGCACCGATTTCTAATGTTAAGTTTTAACTGATGAAAATTCTGTCTACACAGGTGGCTATGTTTCTGAGCTATAACATAAAACAGGAACTAAAATGTGTTGTTCATCAAATTCTGAACTCTAAAGCATAGGCTGTACATATTAGTCTATAAACTTAAATTGGTCTCTCTTTTTAACACACTTACTGTATACCTTCTCCTATGTGAAATGTAGTGTAGTGTACATCCTGTTTTACAGGAGTGTATATTCCCTGGTTTCTTTCTTCACTCCGGTAAACTGCATGTAATGAATTTAGAGTAACATGTGCCATTTGAAGCATTATTTTTTAAATTATTGCAGTTATTCCTTTAGTTGCACGGTGAGAAAAGTAGAGCTGCTTTTTTTGACAATTGCAGCATCTTAGGTGATACTTGTCTGCAAAGTATCTGTATGGTGCTTTGTAGGAAACACATTCATCCCATTGTGAACACCTTTCATTATTTTTGGATAATCTGTGTTTAATGTGTTTTCAGATATGGTGAAACAGCTTGATACCTGGGTAAGCAACTGATGAAGTTGCTGTCAGAAAGTTACTCTAAAATGAAGAGGCAAAATCACACTTTTTAATATCTTCTTATTCACAATATCTCCTGAAACAAAATGTGATCATGGTCTGAAAGAAGACCGGTGTCTGATTGGGGTTCATATGGGTCAGACCCAAACTGCAGGAGTTTAGAGGTTGTTTATGTTTTGTCTTGAAAGTAGAAAATAGATTTAGAAGTGTGTTCCAAAATCCACAGAAATTAAACCTCTACTTAACATGGTATTTTTGGTACTCCATAATACCTATTTAGGAAGTTCCTATTCTGTTGTAGAAGACTACTGATGGTTTTGGGATTTTTTTCGTTAATAGGTTTGTTATCTAGTAAAAAAAGAAGTGAAAAACCTAAAGAAATAGGATGCATAGGATTTTCTTTTTAAGGAAAAACCTCTATATTAAAAGACATGTAGAATCTTGGGGTGGGTACAGCTCTGAGTTTATTAAAATTATAATCTTGTATAGTTGGCATTGTAAAAGCAATACACATGATCATTTTGAATACACTAGAAAATCAGTATGATTTGTAAACCTCTGAGTGAGCCTTTTACTGACAATCAGCAAATTTCCTTCACGTAAAACTAAAACACTCTTTCAGAAAACATAGCAAAATACCTCAGCACTCAAACTGCATGAAATTTCTACGAAAAGATGAAATTTGCCACTAGTAAGCAGAACATCTGCTGGAAAAACCAGTTAATGCTGACTTCTGTGTAGTAGGGAATTAACCCAATTCTTGTTACTCATGTGTAAGCAATAGCTTGCTTCCCCATGTTTTCCTTTGTTAAAAAGGAAGTAGTCTTAGATGCTTCAATGTACTGGGTCTCTGTGTCAAGTAGAAATTAGTCATTAGTGTCCAAATAGTTTCACATGTCTAAAAAATAACACCCTGCTGTATGTTCTGGGGGTAAAATTAGTTCCCAACTTGTCCATGCTAAGCAGTTGCAGTGGCCCCTCTCCTTGAGTGTTTTCCATACTGGTTAAATCTCCAGTGATATGTTTCTGAGGTGGCTTTTTTGTTTTGTTTTGTTGTGGTGTTTTTTTAAATTATTAGTCCCCATTTGAGCAAGATAAAAAGGGTGAAGAGGATGCTTTGTCCCACTGTTCTCTGATACTGGGTCAATACTACCTGACATGACTAAAAGCTGCTGAGACCTCACTTTTTGGTTTTTTTGGACATGATTATTACTACTTGCTTAGGGAAAAGGTGTCAGAGCCATCTCATTTTGTACTGACCTTGGTCTGTGCTGATTTGTTCTTGGCACATCTACATTGTAAAGTAATTCTAATGGCCATCTGCTGTCTTGCTAGGTTTTTTGGGCCAGGGGATGCTGGGTGTTTTATAGTTTTGTTTTGCTTTGTATGAGCCAGAGATTTTTGCTTTGACTTGAAAATGCATGGAAATGTTATAAAATGAGTCTGCAGTATTGTCAAAAAAGTATTTTGTTTTGTAAATCTGGTAATAGTAATTGAAGTTTACTAATTCTTTTTCACAATTTTTTCGAGTGTTAAGTAAAAAAAAAAAAGAAACAATGGATTTTTTTTTTGCTTTTTTATTTTTGAGCATATGTATTGGATTAAATGTATAATCTGCTTTACAAAACTTTTTTGTGTCTTAGTGGATGATGTAGTGGATGAAAGTGATGATAACGATGATGCTGAAACAGAATCAGAAATCGAAACTGAAAATGATGACGACAAGGACCAACATTTTAAGGTTTGTATGAGACAAAATTAACAGGCAAAAACCATGCATACCGTAATCGGGAATCGTGTATACAGCCATATATTTTAAGTGTTATAAGGACTTTGAGGAAGTTTTCAGGGCAATTTCTAAAATTTTAAAAGCTCCTGAAAGTTAAAGAGGGTGGGTGCTGCTTGAAGATACCAACCTTTGTTGTTCAGATCGCTTCAAGATTTGTATCAAAACCTGTTTGCTTCACACATGTTGTGTCTGGAATACATTGGAACAGAACTGCAGTCGGAACACAGCAGTGTTCTGCTCTCAGCTTTTACTTCTGTCATCCTGCTCTTCCCACATCAGCTGCTGAGTATGTAGGAGCTGCTCTAGCAAAAAGCCGTCATTCTTGTCTGGCATTGACTAGGTCAGTGTTTCAGCAAGGTAACTTTGAAGTTCAGCCAGCTGTAGAGGTAGAGATCAGACCTCTCACTGTTGTATCACTTTGGGGGAGGTATTGTTCTGCTCTCCAGCAGCTAGTCAGGACATGAAAGGACATGTGTTCAGAACTGCCTCATTGGATGTTTTTATGTTACATATATTCAGAAGTTAATTGAATTCTCTGTCCATGGACTGTACTGACAGATTTTATTGGAGGCTGTCATGAGCCCTGATGAAGGGAGTATCTTCTGTGGAAGCGGTTACTCATTTGTCACTGCAATCAGATGAAATCTCCAATTTCTAGGGTGCAATAGTTGGATTATGCGCAGATCTCATGTAAAATGTAGTCTAATGTATATGCATAATACATTTGGATGAAAGCAAGGAAATTGGGATGTTTGTAATCTGTTGAATTGGGGGCTTTGGCATACTGATAAAGCAGCTACTTAAACCTTTGTGGTGAAAAGTGCAATTCAGCTAATTTTAGAATAGTGATACTTAGCTTTTGAAGCGTGGCTGTGTCAGAATAAAAGGTGAATGTAATTATTTTAGAAGGTCATTAATTCTGGATGCAAGGTTAATTTTTTCTGGTGCTCTTTCAGAATGATGATATTGAAACTGATATTAATAAACTGAAACCTAGACAAGAATTGGGAAGACCCCTTGAAGAACTGAAAATGTATGAGCAATTTTTCCCAGAACTTTCAGAAAACTTTCAGGTAAAGTGTATCATTCCCAAGGCATTCTTCATTGTGATGGGTTGACTCTGGAATTCACTGTGAGATTACTTTTTGGATGGATAATTCCTCTAGCCAAAACATGAAGAGTCTGTAGGTCTGGAGCTACACGTGAGTGTGCTATATAGTGAGTGATAGTGTTACGGGTTACTTTAATCTGACTGAGGAGGACCCTGTGGGCAGACAGAAAGGAAAACAGTTTTCTGAGGTCTGATGATTGCACACAGCAGAAAGTAAAATAGTAAGAAAGGACATGAAATTTCTGACAAAGATTAATTGTATTAGGTATTTCCTTGTATGCAGTGCACCTCTGTAAAGTAGTTGGTTAAAACTGGGGAGTCTCATTGACTTCATAATCTGTTATTGATGAACTACGTGTTTACTGCTTTGACACTACCTTCTAGTAAAAGCTGAAACTTCCTTGCTATTGTTGCCTGTAGCAGGCATGGTGACCTGGTTCAGGCGACCACTGCCCCCAGGCCGCTCGGTCCATGGGCTGGCAGACACCAATGTGGTGGATGGTAAAATGGCGTTTATTGATAAGTGACACTGCCTTACATGGCATGGGTTTGCAACATCACTTCCCTCTGCTGACATCACAGGCTAAACGCTACTGGGAGAGGGGCCCTATTTGTCTGTACAGCGCGAGATCTTCCGGTCGCCAAACCCTAACTACCACATGCTATGTTTGTGTAGGTTTAAAACATAACTGTAATTTATAATAATACTTAATAATTCTAAATAATATATAGTATAGAATATAAAATCTAGTAATAAATATTATTATAATAGTAACTTTTAAATTACACTTATTTTGGATTATTGCAAAGCATACCTCAGGGAGCAATGAAAGAGAAAGATTTCTGATATAAATTAAACTTCAGGAACTGTTTATGTTTTGGTATGTTTTTAATAAATATTTTTATTAATTTTTCTCTTTTATTTTTTTAAGGAATATGACTTAATTTCCAAGGAACCAAAGCCTTTTGTACCTGATGCAAATCTGAGTGGACCTATTGTTGTTCCTACAGCAGGAGAGGAGCACTCTGCTGAAGCAAACCAGTCCACAAAAGGAGTTGCTTTGAAGGAGAGCAATCCTTTATTGACAGAGGAATACAATAGAAGGCCAGCCTTTCTGGAACTACCAAAGAAAGATAATATCAAAGACAGTAGTTTACATCAGCAAAATGATCAAAGAAACCTGCTTCCCTCATGTCAGTGTCTAAGCCAAGAAATTGTGAAAGGCTTGGACAGAATCAGTCTGCAGAACAGTGCAAAAAATGATCAGTGTTATGGTACAGGGTGTGTAACAAAGAAGGAAAGCAAACCTAGCCTTACCCCTCTTGCTTCTAGTAAACCTTGTGGCCATGTTTCACCCTGTGGAAGTAGTCTCTTTGAAGGATCATCTGTTCAGCTGGGAAAACTTTGCTGCACTGGAGTGGATTCAGAGGAGGAGGAGGATTCCAGATCTAGTTCATCAGGGGAACAAGTCATGCTTGAGGTTTCTGATGTATCACCAGTTCATGACTGTGATCTTTACATTGAAATGGTAAAAAACACAAAATCTATTCCTGAATATTCAGAAGTGGCCTATCCAGATTATTTTGGCCATATTCCACCCACATTTAAGGAGCCTATTCTGGAAAGGCCGTATGGGGTGCAGAGGTGAGTTACCATACTTCTTTTTTGTTGTTTTCTTTCCCTTGAGAAACAATTTTTAGGGCAAGATCAGCAGCCACGTATACAATTCTGACTTTGGCATCTAAAACTATTTTTGTTGAAAAGCAGTTTGAAGGCACATGAGTAGGCATTGATCAATACAGGGCTATAAACCAAGAACACAATCTGATTCTCTAATAGCTAATTCTGTAATTCCATTTCTAAATACAAAATTTAATTTATAGTCTCCCTTTCTGCTTTCCCCTATTTCCCATCTAAGTCTTGTAGTTTGTAAAAAAAACAACCAAAAAACAACTAAAGGAACCTCCAAAACCAAAAAACTCAACGAAACAAAAAAACCCACAACCCACAAAAATCCCCAGCAAACAAACAAAAACCCACACCTGACTGCTTCCTTTGAGTTTAGCAAAAATAGGACAGTTAGTAGTTTAAAGGTACTTTTCCTCTTCTGTCTGCTGGACTAACAAGGCTATCTTTCAGGAAAATGTAGTGGGGAAAAATTAAAAAAATAATCCACTTTAGTGACTGGTTTTGCTGTTTGCAGTATAACAGAATTTAGGGGTAACAAATGCTGAGTACGCAGTTTATGTTAAGTCCTGTGGAATGGCACACAATAAACACAGAAAAATAAACCAACAAAAGACAACACATCAACAGCCCCATTTTTTTCTTCACTGAGAGATACTAGAACATGGCAAAGGGTGCTGTGACTCTTCAGAATAATTTGCAGAGGTGGTATGAAGAACTGGCTGGTGTGCATAGTAAGTTACTATGAAGGCAAATGAGCATGTGAGTAAAACATATAATAGTAGATACGAGACCTTGCCATTTGCTTAGTCATTAGATTGAATGCTTTCAGCTTTATACTTGTAACTTTAACCAGTATAATGAGATTCTTCATACTTACATTTAGTTATTAAAATGAAAGAAGCTAAAAGAAATTAAGAAATTATAAAAGAAATTAAGTGTCTTCAGGTTGTATAATTAAAATCTTCAGTTGTTTCACACGTTATAAAAAAGTGATCTTTCTGGTGTTAAAACATTCATGAAGTTATTAATATACTGTTACTAGGAGGCACTGTTCAGTGTTGAAGGACAAGAATCTTCCCTATAAGCTTATTTCTAGATAAATTCGGCTGATTTAGAAGGGAGATAGCCTTGAGTCAGAAATCACCTAAGAACTGCATTTTAAGAAAATCTTGCAAATCTTCATGTATGTTTTTGTAGTACTTTGTAATTCTCATTCTACCTGACTTCACTCAATTTTACTCAGGAAAAAATTTGTCATTCCATTGCTCGTTCTTCTTAGATATAAAGCACTGTATTAACTCTGACTTTTAATCAACAAACCTATTTGTGTGATTACACATAAAGCTAATTTCTAAACCATGAATGTAATTCCAGAATATATTTTATTTTAACTTTAAAATGGTTTCTTTTTGTTGTATTTTCTATGTTGAAATTAACATTTTTAGGTCTTGTGTGAAACAAAAATGAATTCTCAGGTAATACTGCTAAACTTGAATCAAAAATCCTGTATTACTTTTTAAGTTATACTGTTCTAAGAATTCACTTTTCTACAAATGACTCAGTCTTGTTACTGCAATGAGCAAACTTCTGAGAGGGGAACCTGTTTAAAAAGGGCTTAGTCTTTTCAGGAATTTATAGTTTGTAGGAAGGTGGTGAAAATGAGTTTGGTAGGGGACATGGAGAAGCTTTTAGGTCTTTCACAAATCTGTGTCCAAATTCCTTTGATCTTCAGTGGGATTTACTAGTTCTCTTTAATGTAAGCAGTTAGCTACTACTCATCAGCTAAGTTTTCTTTAGAAAACAAATGGTTGCTGTAACCCATCCTTGTAATTTAAGAAAATATTATGGAGAGCTGAGGTGGGGAGTTAGTAGGTTTTCTTTTTCCTTTTATTAGATAAATGGGGTGTGGAGTTTTGAGGTTTCTCTTAAGTCTTGCAATATGCTAGGAGACTCAGTATTTTTGAATTTGTGCTTTGGAGTGCTTTTGCTTTCTCATTTACATTTAGTAACATATAATTTTCACCAAATGTCCCACCAAATTGTTATTGGTTGGAAAAATGTCATTGAGAAGAACTGAAGTGTTTTATATTATTCTGCCTCTTAGGGAAGAAAATTATTACATAATTCAATACCCTATAAATTTGAGTTTAAATTCCTCCTTTTTTCCATTCCTTAAATTTTAGGGTTTTTTGCCATACACTTTAGTGTTTTCTAGTCATTTGTGTATTTTCTGATCATCTGACACTTAAAAGTCATCATCAGGTAAATGTGGATCCACAATGGACTAATCTATAAACAAACTCCTCATCAACAGTGTTGGTTTTATATTTTTTTCCTTTAATGACCTTAAAATAGTCTCTCTTTTTTCTTGACTTTTTTTTTTTTTTTTTTTTTTTTGGAACCTGGAAATGTCCACTACTACTTTTTCTGGTTTTGATACATCTTGAATACCATTTATTCTTTCCTTTTGTCTACGTTAGTCATTACTATGGTATTTGAATCCTGATACTCATTAATTGATTTTGTCTTGGCAAAACTTTTGTGATTATAGGAAGTATTATGACCTTTTAGAGCTGAGGTCATACTGAGATCTGAGGAGTTGTTAAAGATCAAAAATCTGTAGTTCTGCCCTGAACTGAACCTGATTAGATAGATTGTGGTGAGTCAGCCTCCTTACAATTTTGTCGGTATATTGGACTTGTGACCTGTTGTCTTTTCCAGTTAGTTTTAATTTAGTAAGAGGCCCTAGAGTTGTGCACTTACCTCCTTTTTCTCATTTGATAACAATATTTATTTTAATTAAATGGAGAGTTTCCAGCCTGAACATAATTTACCGCTCTATTCCTATATTGTTCATTGTTAATCTGCCTCCTTTTCTTCTTATTGCAGGTGCTGTGCAAGCTTTTCCACACAGCTCTGCCACTATATTTCATTCTTGAACTGCAACACATTCTTACTTTTCCAAACCAGGACCTAGATACTGCCAGTTTGTGCAATGGTTTTATGATCTGGATAAACATACACCTGACATTTGGCTGACATCACCAAATTCATTCTTATTTGTTACCTAGTCGATAAATGAACCTAGATCTCCAGAGGTGAAAAGCTAGTGCACTAACACACTCACTGCACGACCTACTTTCTAAAACTCTTTAATTTTAGTTATGGTAGGACTCATGTAAGTTACTAATGTTATCAAGTGCTATCCTGGATTAAAGTATTAACATAAGTAATGTTTGAGCAATTCCTGCTTCTACTATAAAGTATGAAATGGTGCATTTTTTTTCCATAAGATAAAACCCAGTGGGTTGTGTGCATGAAAACTCAGTTCCTTCACATTCAAGTATTGGACTCGGTCAACTGTGAATGCAGGTGTTCAAACTTAAGTACACTTACAGTTTGTGCACATAGGTGGGAGTGAGGCTGAGATCTCTGAAAATCTGTCCTACTGTCTTCATGTCAGCTTTGTTAATTTTCATTGTTGTATGAGGTAATTCCTCTTTTGTAATTGGAAACGCTATGCAACAATTTAAATGAGAACTCTGCTTTTTATTTTAGGACAAAAATCTCTCAAGATATTGAAAGACTGATTCATCAAAATGACATTATAGACAGAGTTGTGTATGACCTTGATAATTTGAGGTGAGTTTTTACCTTTCTGAAAACAGTATTCAGCAAATACTCTAACCCTGTTCTGCTTTCTCTGTGATATAATTTGTATTACCTATTAAGACAGACTTCAATGACAGTTCCACCTGATGTAACAGTGTTTCTGCTATCTAGGCTGTATTTAGAGGAAGGTTCAAAATAATTTTTAAGTTACCAAATGATGGCTAACATAATAAGTTTAGTTTAGTTTAGTTAAGGATCTTTTTAATTCATTTTGGTCCCTTTTCTTTTTCTACTCATAGTTGTTCAGTACCGGAGGAAGCAGATGTTTTGAAGTTTAATTCCAAGTTTGAATCTGGAAACCTGCGGAAAGTTATTCAGATCAGAAAGTAAGACATTTCAACTCTTCTTTTCACACTTGAGGCTATTTATTTCTGCTTCTTTAAGAAAGATTGATTTGTTTTTGTTAATCTTTAGGAATGAGTATGATCTAATACTGAACTCGGATATAAATAGTAATCATTATCATCAGTGGTTTTACTTTGAAGTCAGTGGAATGAAAACTGGCATTGGTTACCGGTTTAACATCATCAACTGTGAAAAGTCAAACAGTCAGTTTAACTACGGTAAGACACATTTCCTATACTTTGAGAAGAAATTTATAGAAAAATATCTGTTCTAGACAGCTCGGCTGTTTCCTTCCCTCTGCCCCAGGATCAGTAGTATATTCATGTTGTGAGATCAGATTCTTTTTTAATAGTACTACTTGAAAATGTTTTGACAAGTTCCAGTTAAAAAGAAAAAAAAAATCTTAAAACACTGGCTGTCATTTGTTGTGAGACTAAAACAGAAGTTTGCTGGTGGCTGCAGCTAAAATTTGGGGGGAGGAGGGGATTTTTTTGCTGGATTTTTCTGAATTTTGTCCTTCAAGAAGTAGAAGCTCCTCTTTCCTCACCTCCCAACCTCAAACTCTTGTGCAGAGTAACATCATATTCTTCTTTGTCATAATTGTGCAATTCACATTGATAAAATCAAAAAATACCAGGTAACTTGACCAGTAATAAGATGCTTTTAAGATATGTACTAATCTTCATCAGTTAGCTTAGATCTTCATTCATATGTTGTATATGCTTACCTGATAGTTACTTTTGTTTTGACTGAATCATTCAATGTATTTGTCTAATTACCTAACTAGTAATAAGGTTCAATTAATATGTATTATTTTCTACTCTAACTTCATATTAAGTATTCAACTTAAGTATGCCCTCCAAAAAAACCAAACTTTAAAGAGCAACTGTTTTTAAAAAGAATACATTTTTCCCAAAACAGTTATTTTCCAGCTATCCAGGTTAATGGGTGATAGTATCAATTTTTTACATTCTCTTTGAAGCCTTTTTTAATAGTGAGTTGGATGGAGTGGGACCCAAGACTTCTTGTAGTTTACCATTCGTACTAATCACAACTTTCATTTACGCATTTCATTTTGGTCTTCTATAGGTCTGATTCTTTTTTTTTTATTTTTTTTATTTGGTATTTTCTGAAAATTAGGATGTGATGAGGGGAAAGGGGGAAGAATCTTGTCTCCTCTGGTTGAAAGACTGTAAAATACCCAGGCGTTTATGAAAATGCGATCTATGATAATGAGTAAATGGGTATAGGTAGTTCAGATACTCGCATATGAATGCTACTGTGGTCCCTTACTGCTAAGTTTTTGATCTTTAATTTTAAGTGTTGAAGTGAGGTGTATTTTTTATTTTCTTTAAGGTATGCAGCCCCTCATGTATTCTGTTCAAGAAGCATTAAATTCTCGACCATGTTGGACTCGTGTTGGGACAGATATTTGTTACTACAAGTAAGTACACCACTCAAGCATACAGCAAATCTTACACTGAAAATTAGTATGAGGTACAATGTTTGCTTATGAGTTCGATAATTCCATATTAGTAGTTCTGTTGTGAAAAGAGTTTTCTTCCTGATTTACTATGGAGAGTAACACAAGTGACCAAAAGATACAGGGTCTTATTTTGTTAGCACACTGCACTTCATATTTTATACTTTTGTCAGAATTCACATACTGTTCCAGAGAAGCTTTTAAGGGAATATGTGTGCTTAATTGAAATCTTAATAATGACTTCCAGTAATACTGATCACGTGGTGCTTGTGATTAGGCTCCTGTATTCTATGGTACAATCATTGCAAAGCAATCCTGAAACGCAGGATGAGATGCTACAGCATATCCATGCATTACCTTTCTTGGTCACAGAATCACAGAATCACAGAATTGTAGTGGTTGGAAGGGACCTCAGAGATCATCGAGTCCAACCACAAAAAAAAAAAAACAAAAAACAAAAAACAAAACAAACAAACAAACAAACAAAAACCAAAACAAAACACACAACAACACCAGCTCCCACCACCTAAACACACAACAACAACCTCCAAAACCAAAAAACCATCACCCACCCACACAGCACCCCACCACAAACCAGTAATCTTGGGCACTAGAGCATGCCCTGAAGAACCATGTCTACACGTTTCTTAAATACCTCCAGGGATGGTGACTCCACCACCTCCCTGGGCAGCCCATTCCAATGCTGGATAACCCTTTCAGTAAAGAAATGTTTCCTAATATCCAACCTGAACTTCCCCTGGCGCAACTTGAAGCCGTTACCCCTTGTCCTATCATCTGTAACTTGGGAGAAGAGACCAACCCCCGTCTCTCTACAGCCTCCTTTCAGGTACTTGTACAGAGCTATAAGGTCTCCCCTCAGTCTCCTCTTCCCCAGACTGAACAACCCCAGTTCCCTCAGCCTCTCCTCATAAGACTTGTGCTCCAGACCCCTCACCAGCTTCGTTGCCCTTCTCTGGACCCGCTCCAGCACCTCAATGTCCCTCTTGTGGTAGGGGGCCCAAAATTGGACACAGTACTCGAGGTGGGGCCTCACCAGTGCCGAGTACAGGGGGACGATCACCTCTCGGGCTCTACTCACCACACTGTTCCTGACACAGGCCAGGATGCTGTTGGCCTTCTTGGCCGCCTGGGCACACTGCTGGCTCATGTTCAGCCGACAGTCGTCGACAGTTGTTCGCTTCCTTTTTGTTTTTGTTTACTCAGCTTTTCCCAGTATGAGTGAATGTATATCACTGCTATAATAAAGTGTCTTTACAGATGGTAGGAATTTACTGTATTTAATTTGGATGTACGCATAAGACAAATATAATCACTAAAAATCTTCCTGTCTCTTAGAATGTGTGTTCAAGAATAATAAATTCTATGAAAAAAAATATATTCTAAATGTGCTAGAATACCGAATTACCTTCATTTTACTAACAGGAATCACTTTTCAAGAAGTTCAATTGCTGCTGGAGGTCAAAAAGGGAAATCTTATTACACAATTACATTCACAGTGACTTTCCAACATAAAGATGATGTCTGCTACTTTGCTTACCATTATCCATATACATACTCAACTTTAAAGGTGAGGAGATTATGATTTATTACACAGATAAATATTTTTACTTTTGGACAATGTGAAACATAAACATTCATGAGTGAATTCTTTCTATTCCTTTTCATAAAGTTCAAAATGCTCCTTAAAATTGACAATTTTCATAAAGTATTAGTGTTTAAACTGGTGAAGTATTTAGGTTGTTCTAAAGAGGTCCTAGCAAAATAAAATTGATCCTTACTTGCAGTCTAATTGATTTTTCTAGGAATCATAATTCATAATCAACTGGAAGTGTTGCTAACTGGATGAAGTAATTTGTGTCTGAGTCAAATGACTCATATCTTTCTGTTCTACATACACCTCTTCCTAACTAACCTATTCAAGTTACTATATTTAAGATAATTAGAGACCTTTCAATGATAATGAATTGGCTGAAGAAAAGTTACGAAGCTTTTAGGACTAAGCAAAGCTCTTGGCTAGAATGTCTGGTGGTTGTTTATGTCATAGCAATAAAAGCTAACCTGGGGGCTCAGTGAGCAGTGTGTAACAGTGCTGGATGAAGCTTTTTACTAAGCCATTCTTGCTTTTGGAAGAAGTACCTGTTAAGGGATGTTACAAGCAGCTGCTGCCTCCAACAGCACTGGGACCTGGCCGTTCCTCCTGCCTGGGGGCTGGAGCCCAGCCAAGGGGCCTGGGGGTCTCTGTCCCAGACTGATGGACTTGTCTGCTGCTTTCCCGTTTGCTCGTAGGTTCAACCGCTAGTGAATCTTGAGCGTGTATCCCAAAGAGAGAGAGACACTCATGCACACACACTTGCACACACCCCTTGTCCCCAGGACTTGCTTAAAGGATAACTGCAGGCACACAAGTCCCTTTTCTCCTGTCCAGCTGGTAAGGATGGCTGTTCACTAGTAAAAGTACACACTCACCAACTCTCTAGGATCGCAAGTGCATGCACATTTGTGGGCGACTGGCATGGCCCATCTGTGCCATGCCTCTGCCTGGATTCCAGTCTCTCTTACCTGCTGTCCAGCCTGGTGCTCACTAGCACATGGATGCATGCACCCACACAGTTTTCTCACAGGCACTCTACGCTTGTTCCCCCCAGATGCCAGCATGGACTTTCAGCCCAACTGATACCCTTGCTTTGCCTGGGACCTTATACTTGCTGGGTAGTCCACCTTGAGGTTCACTAGCAAATTGCATTTGCACCTCCACTATGCACACTAGCTTCAGGGAAGATGCATATGCTTACCCCTTGTCTCCAGCAGCTGGTACCAGGCGCCTGGGCTTGTAACTCATATTCCTGCTCCAGGTGCTGGCACTGAGATGCCCTTCCTTGCTTCACTTACTCTCACCACCCTACTAGCTGTTTTCTGGGACACACGCTGTTCTTGTCCCAGCAGCTGTCCATCAAGACCCATACCCACTCCTGGCTGGGACTGAGACCTCCTCTTGCTTCCATTGCTGACACCACAGACCAAAGGGTGCCTACACGGCCTACAGCTCCAGCTGCTGGCGTCAAGTCTGCTCACTTTGATCTCAACAGTAGCTGGCACTTTGGACACAAAATCTACGGTGCACACAGAGATGCTCCCAAGAGGTGTGGCCTCTGCAACTACTGGTGCTGAAACCCATGCTCACTACAGTTGCTGACCCCAAATCCAATCACACCTGTCATCCTAGTTGCACATAGTCCACACAGCACTTGCATGCATGGGGTAGAGAGTGAGGCTGCACAGAGAGATAGCTAAGGGCAGACCTTAGGGATTGGGTGCAGAAGTTTCGTGTAGTCCTACAGGCCCTCCTTGGATATCCAGAAATACTCATGTTCCTTTTTGTTCCCTCCTTGTCCCTCAAGTGACCCTCTCCAAAGCCTTGCCTTGCAGATTCTGAATGGCCCATCAGTCAGAGACTAGAGACTTTGGTCTTCACTGTTGTTTCTGTTATGTCTTGTCAACCAGGATTGTTTCTCCCTGTTTATTGCTTCACCCTTTACTTGTTATCCCCTTTTGCACTGAAAAGGTCCCTGATCAGATAACACTAATGAAGCAGAGGTTCTTACCTTCCACATAGCCTTACAGTTTCATCTGGTAGGAAATAATGTACCCTCTGCGCCTTCAGCTTCTTCAAAGCAATTGGAAAAACAGACTCTGTAAAGAGAAGTATTCGGTCAGTCAGAGATGTAGAGAATGAAATTTCATGATCAAAATTATGATGGAAACTTGAACATTGTTCAGAAAAATAGAAAGATTGATTAAATCTTCCTGAGGAAATGTGCTGTGACAGGTGACTGCAAAAGATCTGAAGTATTTTTTTGTTATTTTTGGGATGAAGATGCATCTTCAGAAGCTGGAATCTATGCACAACCCTCAACAGATATATTTTCGACAAGATGTTCTCTGTGAGACCCTGGCAGGCAACAGCTGTCCCTTAGTCACTATTACAGCCATGCCAGAGTCCAATTACTATGAACATATCTGTCAGTTCAGTAAGTATGACTTTTCATTCTCATGAACTGAAAATAATGTAGAGCTAGCTCTTTACGAAAAAAAATTTGGTATTAACTTGTGCCTTGTAAAAATAGCAATATAAAATAAAGTGAATGGATTTAATTAAATTGAGTCATCAATATTCAGGATTTGCTTTGTATTTAATAATACTTATTTGTGGTAGTCAAAGAAGGATGTTTAGATATCTAAAAGTATATATAGTCTTATATTTTAAATCAGTTGCTACATATTTTTGTGTGTTACGTTTTGCAGATGACTCTTCTTGGAAAAGAATACCTGACTTCTGAGTACCTTTTTTCTCCAAGTGCTTGGGTTATTTGCTTTTCAAAAAAGCTTTCATAAAGCCAATATCTAAGCTACTGTGGTACGAAGTGAGCTTTAGTTATGACAGCATTCCTGGTTTGTTCTTCCACCGCAGTCTTTTTCTTGGCTGTTGGAAAAAACGCCATCAAAATTAGTGTATCGTAATTGTCAGTTCAAAGTACTTCTGACTGTATAATTGCCCAGTTGGATTTAAAGCTCCTTTGTGAGAATTCTGTAATTAGCAGTCCTCATAACAATATTCTGGCAAGCTCTGTCAATAATACTGATACTCATTAATACTCAACTCCCAAATACTGTGTTTTTCATTTTAATAAATGGAGCTGGCTACTGCCTCTTTTTTTCTGTTTACTGTTCTGAAACTGTTTACGTAGCTTGAATCATATTTTGAACTTCTGTGTATACTTCTTTTAGGGAATCGTCCTTACGTTTTCCTATCCGCTCGTGTACATCCTGGAGAGACGAATGCAAGCTGGGTCATGAAGGGAACACTGGAATACCTTATGAGTAATAATCCAAGTGCCCAATGTTTACGAGAATCTTACATTTTCAAAATTATTCCTATGCTCAATCCAGATGGCGTCATCAATGGAAAGTAAGCATAAGTTTACTCGCAGATATGTAACCTGTACTACTAAGTCTTTGCATCTGTTATTAAAAAAAAAAAAAAAAGAGAGAATCTAAACTAATCCTGAAAACATACAAATGTTGTACTTAATATAAAAAAAACCCCACAAAATCGCTAGGATTGTTCAATATTTTGGCTTTTTAAAGGCAGATGCACTTATACATGTATTTCAGTTTATTATAAACAGTATTTTCAGTTGTTCAAGGATAATAATAATTTCTATGTGATTGACAGGGCATTTTAATTGTCTCTCTGAAGAGACAGTCTTGGTAGGTGTAGAGTGTTATATGAAAGCACAGCTGCTTTTTGGAAAAGCTAAACAAGTTCATGGTCTCATGAAAAAGAAGAGTCCTTGTATCTGAAAGAACTTTTTATGTAACTTCTCTTCTTTTTTTTTTTTTAGTTATAGTTTTTAGAAGGATGTTATGGAAATGGCTGTTACCAAATGTTATTAAAATGGGGAAAGTTAATAGTTGTGCAGGAGAAGGGTAAGAGAGTATCTATCCTGGTTTGATTTCAGTTATTGATGGTAATTCTTTCATTTACTACCACTTTCCTTAATAAAGTTAAGGGATATTTCAGAGCCTTTTGATACTGCTATGAGTAAGCATTCAGCAGTCTACATTTACTTAGTTACAGGGAATTCATATCAACTGCAAATTTGGTATGGTGAATCTACAGTTCCATCTTGCCTAGCTATAGGTAGTATTTTAAAAGGTTTTGTGAATAAAATAACAAAAGTCAAACCAATTGTGGATTTCAGTAGAACCCTGTCTTTATATATGTAAAAGCATGTATATAACAGAACACCTGGAATTAAACCATTCAGAATACAAGTGAAAGTGTAATACAGGGACAACTAAGAAATTTGTCCCAGCAGACACAGTCTAAACACATATGTACTGAAGATGACTGCACGAACATTAATTTCTGCAAGTTTAAAAATTCTTGCTGTTAGTTTACTGAGTAGAGAGATGATCTTTCTTTGTTTACTGGGTTTTTTGGTTGTCTTTTTCTTTCTTTCTTTTTTTTTCTTCACAGCTACTTGTCTCCTAGCAACTTAATGTTTCAAGTCTTAGATTTGTTTGACAGTAGTGTTTATATTACAGAAGTCAAGACACCAAAACTGTAAAGATACCATATGTTCAAAATTAGTGATTTTGTACTAGCATTTGAATAGAGTTGCAAGCATTCATTTTCAACAGCAAATAAGCAAGATTGTTACTGACTTCATATAAGAAGCTTTAATTTATTTTTAGATTTTCTATAATATAACTTAAAACCCCCCAAACACTTCTATTATTTCACATGTTAGAAAACTGAAGTTTGTTTCTTGCCAGACTCCTTCCAAAGAAGCAGTGGTGACAATGAAAACTTGAGGTGGGGGGAGGCTTATTTAAAAGTATGATAATGCAGACTACATCATGCGTTTTTCCACCCCCCCACAATAGCCACCGTTGCTCTTTAAGTGGAGAAGATTTAAACAGACAGTGGCAAAATCCAAATCCAGATCTGCATCCCACTATTTACCATGCTAAAGGGTTACTGCAATATCTGGCTGCTATAAAACGTTTACCTGTGGTGAGTATGTGTGTGTAAGCAATTCTGAATCTTTTTAACCTTGTCTGTGTAGCTAGTCTGTAAAGTAAACATTTTAATATGATCCTGTAAACAGTGTCATGCTTAACTTTGACTTGGAGAACTGGTCTTCTGCAAAACTTTAGATCTAAATCTGTTTGCTTTGCTAGGGTAGAAGGCTAAACCTTCCTTAGATGAATCCTACATTCTTTGTCTTAATGGACAAGTTAATTTTATAAAGAGTTGTGTTTCCTAATTCTTTGGAACTTTCAACAGTACAAATGAAATTTTTTTATTTGTCCTTCTACTGCTTTTATAAAATGTTAATTCCATATGCCTTGGCTTTATTTTGCCAAATGATTTATTGCAGGTTTACTGCGATTATCATGGTCACTCTCGTAAAAAGAATGTATTTATGTATGGCTGCAGCATCAAAGAGACAATGTGGCACACAAATGTTAATGCTTCCTCTTGTGACCTGATGGAAGACCCTGGTTACAGAGTAAGTTTGACATTTCTACACTTGGCATGAGTTTGGAATGTACTTTTCAAATAACTTCCCAAGATTATTCTGTGCACAAAGTGACTTTATATGATAAGCAGGCTTATTTAGAATTATCTATTTTTAGTACATGAGTATAATTCAAAGTATTTTGAGAGCTTTAAACATTGTACGCTAATACAGCTAAGGATTTACTGATAGTAGAGTGCTTTATTTTTTTGAGTCTTTGTACAAATATGTGGTTTTTTGTGTTCAACATTAGCATTATAGTGAATAAATGGAAAATATGCTTCTGTGAATATAGAATTACTGGATGAAAAAAGAGTCATTTAAGCATGATAAACAGTATTCCAGGAACAAGAAAATAAAAATACTGAACTGCTCTGAGAAACACTAATTTTTGTGTATGGGAAATGGGCAAGGTTCCTCTTAAAGACGTACAGTTAAGGCATGTGCCCCTAATACATATATATGATAAACTTGCTCAAACACCATCCACTGCCTTGTATAAGCTTTCAAAAATTCCACAAGATTTAAAGATTAATGTTACCTGTTTCTTCTGCGTAATTCCACTGCCGCCTTGTGGCAACTGCAGATCTGTGCACTCTTAAGCGTCCAAACCCCGTGATGAAATACATCTTGGGGGTTTGATGAGATGCAGAGTTGAGCTTGAAGGGCTGTGAATGCACAGTTGTTATGCATCCATGAGTGTGATTGAGTACAGATGCTTTCAGATATTTTTTTTTCTCAAATCTTCCTCACTTTAAAAAAGAATAATCTATCGCTCCTTGATTTTCTTGTGTTACTATCTGGGTATTGAGTCCAATGCCATTCACATCTGCTGCTCAACATGTTTGTATGGGGTTTTGCCACTTCAGCCTCCACTACCAAAAGACAATAGTAAGTGTAGTGGGGGAAATGCCTTTTGGTTTCAAAAAGGCGAACTGAAATGTTTGGGCAAGCTTACGCTAATAATGATATATGTAGTATTGAAATAGAAAATTCAGAGTGGTCTTGTGTCTTGGCTTAACTGATACAAATGAAAGCTGGAAAGAACGTTGTCACTTAGCGTTAGTTGAATACATACATTTGCATAACCTTATCTTGATTCTTTCCAAAGTTGCCACGTAAGCAGTTATATTGAACTGTAATTCCTGTTCTTGAAATTAAATATGCACCTGGTACTTTGCTGAATACAAATTAATTTTGCGTACTATAAAATACTGCCTGTGTTAAGCCTGCAAATTGGATTGCTGAAACTGAATTAAATTAATTAATTATATGGGGTATGTAGTACAGTTAGTTTGAGCAAAGTTAGTTTAGTGAATTAGGAGATGGTGATCACCAGAAGAATACTTTTGTATCTTGATACTTGCCCACATGACTAACAATTTTAGAGAATGAGTCTTAAAAAAAAGATAAAATTTAGTAAGTAGGACATGGCAAACCTGTTGTCACTTGAACACACCGTGTTATGAAAACTCAGGATGGAAAAATATTTTCATTCTTGTTCTTTTAATTCAGAGTGCAGCAAAATTCTCTGATAACAGTTTGTAATTGTGTATTTCCCTCGCCCTTGCTTGCGTAAGTGAAGTAAAAGGATCGCTGTGTTTTCAAATTGCTGTCCTGCAGGCACTCCCCAAGATCCTGAGTCAAACTGCCCCAGCATTCTGCATGGGCAGCTGCAGCTTTGTAGTGGAAAAGTCTAAGGAATCTACAGCACGAGTTGTTGTCTGGAGAGAGATAGGAGTACAAAGGAGCTACACAATGGAAAGCACGTTATGTGGATGTGACCAGGGCAAATATAAGGTAAGAAAACATATCAGTTAAACTGTTCTTGCTTTATAATTTCTTCTGTTTGCATTGGTATCTTGTTCTACAGTTCCTCTTGCTTGCTTTAAACTTCTAAAACTCTTCTGTGTACACTAATATTAGAGTGACATTATATCATTTATAATATTATAGTTTGCGTAACAGACTTCAGCTGTCACTTAACATCCCCCATCCCCTAATATGTTATGCTTATCGGCTGTTTTAACAAGATTAATATTAATTATTGCTTGCAACACATATGTACGCATGTAGTTAAAAAAATCAGAACTGTTCTTTCTATTAGATGACTAAAATTGGGTAGTAATAAATACCAATATTAGAACAAAAATCTCCTTTACACATGGTCATTTCAGACTTCACCATAGCAGTTCATGGTTCCTCAGTGGACACTTAGTAGCATCCCTTACAGAATTTTACTGTGTAGCTGCGGAAACACACTTATAAATCAAACCACTTTAATATCAGCTTACCAGAACTACAAATTACACATCTCTGAACTCATCATTATTGGTTGACTTCTTGACTTAAAACTTGTTTTCAATGTATCTCCTTCAAAAGTGTTAGTGGGGCTGGATATTTGAAAACAAAAGGTGACCCTGTTCATAGTTTCTCACTAGCAGAAAACTTACTTCAAAGAAAATACTGGTAGGGGAAAAGAGGGTAACAACAGCCCTAGCATCTGATCTCCACTTTCTGTCACTGGGTTAAATTTAGCTACAAATTGAAACAAGTCTTTAAAATGAACATTCATGGAATAAGTCAGTTTCCTCTGCTTGAAAATAACTTAGGAATGCTAACCAAGAAAAAGCCCACGAACCTTGATTAAGGTGCTTGTCAAAAAGAGGACCAGAAGGCTGCAATCAAGGAGTGGAGCAGGACAGAAACAAAACAAAAAGTTAAGTTGGAGCCATGTATATTTAATGTATTAATGCATGCTCCAACACCCATGCTTATCTCCCTAGGAGATAAGAAGGAGGACAGTTTGGCAGGAATTTCAGTAGGTCTGTAACTACTAAATGAATGAGTTAATTTTGTCAATTAACAACACAGGTGTTCCTGCTATTGTCAGAATATTCCATTGTTCCTCAGATGACATAACTATGGAGCTTTGAAAAATGGCTAAGTTATCCAACTTGCTCATTTTGGAACTTCCAGAATATTCTGAAACAATCTTCATGGCTTTAGCAGTGTTGGTACAGAAAGTTCTTAAGAAACGTGAATTGAAGATGGTTTGCGGGCAAACTTTTCGATTTGCTTCACCTGCAGAGCCCTTCAGGAAGGGAGGAAAAAATGGCTGAATTCTGTGGAAAAATTATTTCCTCAAAAAGGAAGAGCATTCTTCTGTGTAATATAAATTCGCTGATGAGACAAAATTTTTGTTCTGTCATTCATTTCATTTGGAATAAAACAATTTGTGAAGTCTTAGTCATCCTCTGAAAATATAGGAAGATTCTTTGGTTTTTTCCTCACTATGATAATGCTCAGGCTTACTATGAAAATGTCTGAAGCACTTTTCCAGTCGTCTTCTGGTTTGGCATCATCGATAAATATTGTTCAAAGCACAAAGAGAATTACTCAACAATTTCTGTTTTTTGTGGAAGAAATGCTGTCTTTGCCAAAGCTGGATATTCTCAGGACACCGGTTTTTATTATTTTTTATTTTACTCAGAAAATGGTCATACTAGACTATTTTCAGCCAGGAAGCTGTTGAACTGGAGTTAGCAATCCTTACTTGAACTTAGAATCCCTGGTGATAGAGTTGTCTCTTGAAGCAACCTTGTTTTAACTGCTTGCGTGGCACCTTTGTTCTGTGTTGAGAATTAGTACTGCAAGTATTGATCAGTCATCTGTGATTCAAGACACCAAAAACCAAGCGTTTGGATGCAAAGATGCTCCAAGATCTACAACGGAGCATAATTAAGACGCCAGACAAAAGAAGAATTTCTTCAGTAATTGAAACCACCTGAAAACTGAAATCAGTCCCTTTCCTGACTGGAGATTAACAAGCTTGAGAGTATTGCTTAATTTTTAAGTAAATCAAGAAGATTTTATTATCTGGCAATTTTATGATGCGTGTAAAGAGACGACGTTAGGAGATACAGATTCAGTCAACAAACTTTGTCAGTTACTGTGATTCTTCAGTCTCCAGATTTTGAATTCTCAAAAATGATCACATCTTTGTAGCCTCTGCTGAATTAGAAAGCAGAAGAAAAAGATGATGTCTTACTGTCCAGCTGACATAGTATGGCTGTTCTCAATTTATTAAGTACATATTACAGGAATGTTCTTCTCAACTTGAGGTCACATTCTGTTATGCCTTTGCTTTGCATCTGTGCTTTCAGGTAGCAAAGTTCATCGCTGAGGTGTTCTATTCATATGAAGGTATTCTCATGACATGTTTAGTAAGGAGGACTTCAGCCTGCCATCTGAAATGTTACTGTCCAGAAGGAAAACGGTTGTATGAAATGTAAAGAAAAAAGAATGAAATTCCATCCATGTTTAAAAATAACAAAAAAAAAAGCAGCTGCTACTTCCAGGTGGCTTGTGCATAAAAGCAATGCGTGTAACACTTCAGGAACTTTAATAGGCCACAGTTAAAGGTTCTAGAACAACAGTTGAAGGTGATTAGAAGATCAAGAAGAGTGTAATTGAAGGCTTCAGTGAAAAAGAACTTCACCTCAGCTCCCTGAGTTAGGGCAACTGTTCATTATTATTTCCTGAAACATTCTTTGAGTCTCTTGCTTCATGGAAATTAAGAGATTTGGCTGATGGAAGAATAACAATGCATTAAGAAATGTGGTGTTTGGCAGCTGCATGTTATTGCATTCTCCGATGTGATTTAAAGAAATGACAGAAGTAAATATAGAGTTTGGCATGGGCTTTTAGCGCCAAGTATGTAGACCTTCCAGTATAGTAAGTGCAAATTTTATTGTCCAGGCATTTCACAGTTATCCACCTGCAATCTGATCCATTTAGGTCTCTCTTTAGTTACATCCTCTTTCTGCTGTGCTCAAAATAGCAGCCACGGAACATGCACACGCTGTTTATCTTTCTAACAATTGTCTTTGCACCTTCTTTCCTACTGTGTTCTTGTCCTTTTTCAACTTACAGCCACTCCTATTATACTGTCTGTAAGGAATCTTTCAACTAACGATAACTTCTTCAGCAACAGATGTAGACAATGATTGGAAAAGTTTCTGAACCATCAAGTTGTGCACATCAGTAATCTGAGTAACAGTAAGATTACTGTTACCCTTCTCCTTCCTCTTCTGCATACTTGTTGCCTCTTGTCCTTAATGTTATTTTAATCTCTTTGGGGCAGGGACTGTGTCTTCCTGTGATTAGCGTAGTGGAGCCCCAGCTATGATTGGGGTCTTCGAATGTTACTGACGTGCAAACAAATACAAAACAAAAACAAAAAATTGGCCTCTGTGGATAAGGTACTGCACTGGGAGTGAGGAGAACTGATTTCTGTTCCCAGCGGGGTCAGTGACATGCTGTGAGACACTGTGCAAATCGCTTCAACCCTCTCTGCCTCCATTTCTCCATCAGTAAAGTGAGGATAATTCTTCCTTTATTAATAAAGTGCTTTGAAACCTACAGCACAAAAGCATTATAAAAGAGGTGAGTAGCATTACTATTAACAATAATACTAAAATATCCAACTCTTGTTCACTGCTAACAGGTTTCTGTACCATTTGGCTGGAGGATGGCACTGTTTAGAATAGTGGATATAACTTTAGCTATCTTGTTTGTTGTATCTACCTTGTGCTAAAAAGCACCTTGTTTATGAAGAACTACGGAGTTAAAAAAAAACTCACAAGAAAAATAAAATCAAACTTGCCATTTGTGAAGTGTGCATATGTTCAAAACAGAAGTACATAAAGAATGTGGAGACTGTACCATTTCTGGAGCAACATAACACTTTCTTTTAAACCTTGCATTTTAAAATACATTTTAAAATGGCAACATATACAAAGCATGTGTGCGTGTGTTAGCGTTTAGTAAAAAAAATTGCTTCTCCATTCTTTTTGCTTCATGTCTTTTTCTACTTGATGATTTAGCTTACCACCAATTCCTGGAGGTTCTGCTTCTCTGATTGTTTTGTCAAAGCTGCTTTTTAACTACCCGTTACCTTAAGAGGCTTAGAAGATCAAAAGAAAGGAGGAGATTGAGTTGGGTTGTGACATAGAATTTGTTAGTGTATATACAGTCAGTACTGGCCAATTCCATAAGCATTGAGGGTCACTCTGGAATGGCAGGGGTTAAGAAGGGAGCTTTAGATACCATCTAGTCCAACCTCCCTGCCAAGGCAGGTTCAACCTGCTTTGCAGGTGCAACTCCCTGCCAAGAACAGGTTGCACAGGAATGCATCCAGTTGGGTTTTGAATATCTCCAAAGAAGAATTCTACAACCTTTCTGGGCAGCCTGCAACCCTCAAAGTAAAGTAGTGTTTCCTTACATTGAGATGGAATTTCCTGTGTTTCAGCTTGTGTCTGTTGACCCTTACGCTATCACTGGGCACCACTGAAAAGAGTCTGACCCTGGCTTCTTGACACCCACCCTTTAGATACTTATAAGCATTGATGAGTTCCCATCTCAATCTTCTCTTCTCCAGGCTAAACAGACCCAGGTCTCTCAGCTATTCCTCCTAAAAGAGATGCTCCATTCCCTTGATCATCTTCCAGTGGACTCTCTCCAGCAGTTCCTTGTCTCTCTTGAACTGAGGAGCCCAGAACTGGACACAGTACTCCAGATGTGGCCTCACCAGGGCAGAGTAGAGGGAGAGGATAATGTTCCTCAGTCTGCTGGCCACAGTTATTTTAATACACCCCAGGAGACCATTTACATTCTTGGCCACAAGGGCACATTGCTGCCTCATGGACAACCAGGAATCCCAGGTTCCTTTCTGCAGAGCTGCCTTCTGTCAGGTCGGCCCCAAACCTGTGCCGGTATATGGGGTTGTTCCTCCCAAGGTGCAGGACCCTACATTTGCCCTCATTGAGCAGCATTGGGTTCCTCTCTGCTCAACTTTCTAGCCTGTTCAGGTCTCGCTGAATGGTGGCACAGCCTTCTGGTGTGTCAGCCACTTCTCCCGGTTTTGTATCAGTAAACTCTCTGAGGGTTGACTGTCCCCTCATCCAGGTGGGGAACACCGTTAGTTACAGGCCTCCAACTCTTGGCCACAAGGGCACATTGCTGCCTCATGGACAACCAGGAATCCCAGGTTCCTTTCTGCAGAGCTGCCTTCTGTCAGGTCGGCCCCAAACCTGTGCCGGTATATGGGGTTGTTCCTCCCAAGGTGCAGGACCCTACATTTGCCCTCATTGAGCAGCATTGGGTTCCTCTCTGCTCAACTTTCTAGCCTGTTCAGGTCTCGCTGAATGGTGGCACAGCCTTCTGGTGTGTCAGCCACTTCTCCCGGTTTTGTATCAGTAAACTCTCTGAGGGTTGACTGTCCCCTCATCCAGGTGGGGAACACCGTTAGTTACAGGCCTCCAACTCTATCTGCACCACTGATCACAACCCTCTGAGTTCTGCCATTCAACCAGTTCTCAATCCACCTCACTGTACTCCCATCTCACCCATGATTCCTAAGCTTACCTATGAGGATGTCATGGGAGACAGTGTAAAAAGCCGTGCTGAAGTCAAGGTAGACAACATACACTAACACCATTCAACCAGTTCTCAATCCACCTCACTGTACTCCCATCTCACCCATGATTCCTAAGCTTACCTATGAGGATGTCATGGGAGACAGTGTAAAAAGCCGTGCTGAAGTCAAGGTAGACAACATACACTAACACGAGCTGTTCCATCACCTTACCAGGGATGGAGGTGAGGCTGACCGGCCTGTAGTTTCCAAGGTCCTCCTTCTTGCCCTTTTTGAAGACAGGAGTGACATTGGCTTTCCTCCAGTTCTCAGGTACCTCTCCTGTTCTCCATGACCTTTCAAAGAATATGGAGAGCAGCTGCATAATAACATCCGCCAGCTCCCTCAGCACTTGCAGGTGCATCCCATCAAGGCCAGCAGATTTGTGGGTGTCAAGTTTGCTCAAATGATCCCTAACCCAATCCTTTTCGATCAAGGGAGAATCTTCTTTGCTCCAGTCGCTCTCAGCCACCTTCAGAGTTTGGGTTTCTGAGGGCTCGCCTTAGTAGTAAAGACTGAAGCAATGAAGGCATTCAGTAACTCCACCTTCTTTGCATCTTTTGTCATCAGGGCACCTGCTCCCTCAGCACTTGCAGGTGCATCCCATCAAGGCCAGCAGATTTGTGGGTGTCAAGTTTGCTCAAATGATCCCTAACCCAATCCTCTTCGATCAAGGGAGAATCTTCTTTTCTCCAGTCCCTCTCTCCCACCTTCAGAGTTTGGGTTTCTGAGGGCTCGCCTTAGTAGTAAAGACTGAAGCAATGAAGGCATTCAGTAACTCCACCTTCTTTGCATCTTTTGTCATCAGGGCACCTGCCTCGTTCAGCAGCGGGCCCACATTTTCCCTAGTCCTTTTGCTACTAATGTGCTTGAGGAAGCTCTTCTTACTGTCCTTGACCTCCTAAATACTCTGCAGAGGAAAGTGCCTTGGTATATCATTCAATTTAGAAAACAGCTATAGCTTTTGATACTTTATGTTTGTTGTTTTTAATTACTAAATGTGTGAATAAATGCTGTCAATTAATATATGTAGTCTCTAACTTACAGGAGGAGAAGAGATGTTTGTGTTAAGGAGTAATTTTATTACCTTAAATAATGTTATTTGTATGTCAGAACATAGCAATGAACTTGATCAAAACTACGATATGAATTCACTCGTTTTTTTCTTTCTGATGGAATTTATGTTGAAGAATCTTGTATTTGAAATTTTAGTACTTTAATTTCCTTTTTATAAACATTGTCTCAAGTTCTTAAAATAATTTATGCTTACGAACTTGGACGTGATCTCTGTCTCTCTTCCAGTGTGACTGGGTTAAGTCCTGTTAATATTAAGGTGCTAAAAGCATAGACTAGGAAGCTCCAAAGAAATGTGAATTTGTCCAGAAATGTGTATTCAGCCTTAGAGGAATCATGTTGTTACTCTCTTGAGTTTTCTCTGATGCTCTTGCTAAGTGCTTACTCTAAAGTTCTTATTTGTTCTGTCTTTAGACCTAGAAAGTGTATTAAATAAAATAACTTAATGCGTTCTAAATTGTAATTCTGCAGTATACGTGAGTCCATCTGCATGTACCTATTTTGTATTTTTAAATCTTATTTTAAATTAGGGATTGCAGATAGGGACAAGAGAACTGGAGGAGATGGGAGCAAAGTTCTGTGTTGGCTTACTGCGTTTGAAAAGAATGGCCTCTCCTTGGGAATACAACCTGCCTTCTAGTCTGTTGGATATTGAAAATGAGCTGATTGAATCAAGCTGTAAAGTGACAAGGTAGTGCACATTTATTATATTTACCTTTTTTTTTTCAAGACGTTGCAGTTTCTCAAGTAACGTAAAGATTCTCTCAGAAATGTTCTTCCACTCATCATAAAAACTGTTGATGTGTTGTGACCTGTTAGTGTAGCATTAATCTGAATATATCTCAGTCCTACTGTGTTAATTCAGTTGCTTCAAACATTTGAAGAAAGCAGTAACTACAGAGTTGGGCTATATGTCACATTTGTTGCTGAGATAAACACTGGCAATTTTGATGTCATTGGGGAGTTATTACATGTGGTAAAACCCATTAGTTTTTAGGTTTGAATTTTCTCTTTGAGAGCATTTCTTTTTATGTTGCTGGCTACAGTATTAAAAATACATTTTGACAGACTTAAAGTACTTGAGTTAAAGCACTGGGAGATCTGTAAGTTTTTCTTCCAAACATTTTGTTTTCCCCTTTGGTAGAGATATATAAAAATATTTAAAGAATTTAAAACTTGTGAAATAAGGTTTAGGTCACAAAAGAAATGTATTGTATCTGCTCAGTAGCTAGCTTATTAAGTTGCCAATTCTTAAAATTAGAGATAGATTTGCAAAAGTATGCATACTATTGCAATATTGCATATTACACTATTTGTGTAATTCATCACTGAAGTATCCACATGTACACAGTAATTGGGAATGCACAGCAAATAAATTATTCCAAATGTGCAAGCATCTCTTTCTGAAAATCTGGTTAGAAATTAAATAAAGCAGAGTTCCCTACTGCAGAGAAACATTAAATTAGAAAAGAGTAAGATTTACGCACTCTGATATGTTACCATTGGAATAGAGCCAAAAACATGTTTACAGTGGCTTTGGTTGTAGCTCCAACTTAGCTGAAGCAATACTATGACAATTTGGGGAAAAAATGAAATTTATTATTGATTTTGTGCAACTGTAACAAGGAGGTGCTTGAGACTAAGACTTTGATTAGATGCTAAACTAATAAGCAATTTATCCGTAGACAATGCAAAACTAGCAGAGGTATGGGAGGGCATCTGTGGTACCCTATGGAAGGCAGAGATGATGTTTAGTTCCAGCATTTAAATACGTGTTTTCGGTACTGGGAGAGACTGCAGCTTGTGTTCATGCTTAGCATCTGCAGATAATAATGAAAAGCGAAGTGTAAGCTAAAAGGTGATAAGAAAAATAGGAGGAACTTAAGAAAGTGTTTAACGTTGTGATGCATAGATATCTATCACTCTAGTGATGACTAGATCCCCCAATATCAGGGGATCATGTTTGTAAGCTCTGTAACCACCCCGATATCTTCTGGAGGAACAACACAGCAAGGCATCAGCAGTCCAGGAGATTTCTGGAGAGCATCAATGACAACTTACGGACCCAAGTGATACAAGAACTAACAAGGAAAGGTGCTCTGCTGGATCTGGTATTCAGAAACAAGGACGTTGGGATGTAAACGTTGAAGGCAGCCTTGTCTGCAGTGACCATGAGATGGAGTTTAGGTTCCCAAGAGGAGGAAGCAGGGCAAAATAGGCAAGGTGACAGCACTGGACTTTGGGTGAGCACACTTTGGTCTCTTCAGGTATCTGCTTGGAAGAGTCCCATGCTATAACATGCTGGAGGGAAGAGGGCACCAAAAAAGCTGGTGGATGTTCAAACACCACAGCCTCCAAGCTCAAGAGCAGTCCCTCCCCATGAGTAGAAACTTAAGCAAAAATGCCATGAGTTCATGGATGAATGAGAGGCTCCTGGCAAAACTCAAACATGTAAAGGAAATACATAGAAGGTAGAAGCAGAGACAGGTAACCTGGGAGGAATATAGAGGCAATGTCTGAGTATGCAGAGACATGGCTAGGAACGATAAAGTCCACCTGGAGTTGAATCTGGCTGAGGTACTGAATGGCTTCTTCACCTTTGTCTTTACTAGCAAGACTAGATTTCAGTAATTGAAGGACCCAGAGACTGGGGAAAGTCTGAAGCAAGGAAATCTCACCCCTGGTGGAAGAGGAGTGTGTTGCAGAATATTTAAGCAAACTGAACTTCGGTAAGTCCATCGGTCCTGATGACATGCACCCACAAATGCTACCGGAATTGGCTGACGTCACTGCAAGGTTACTGTCAATAATCTTTGAATGATCGTGGTGATTGGGACAGGTGCCTGAAGACTGGAGGAAAGCGAACATCATTCCTATCTTCAAGACCAAGGAGGAATGCCCAAGTAACTACAGGCTGGTCAGCCTCACTTTGATCCCTGGGAAGACGATGAAACAACTAATCCTGAAAGCATTTCCAGCCACATGAAGGAGGAGGAGATCATAAGTAGTTAACACAGATTCACTAAAGAAAGTCATGCTTGACCAATCTGAAAACCTTCTACAATGAAATGATTGTCTTGGTAGATATGGGGAATGAAGTGGATATTGACTGCCTTGACTTCAGTAAGGTTTTTGATGCTGTGTGCCATAGGATCCTTAGAGAGAAGCTGATGAAGTATGGCTTGGATAGGCAGACAGTGAGGTGGATTGAAAACTGGCTGAACAGCTGGTAATTATCAGAAGCACAAAGTCTGGTTGGAGGCCCGTAACTTGCAGGTGTACCCCAGAGGACAATACTGGCTCTGCTCCTGTTTAACATCTGCATTAACAACCTGAATAATGGGGCAGATTGTCCAAAGTGCAAGTTTCCAGACAATGATGGACTAGGAGTGGCACATCCAGAGTGACCATAACAGGCTGTAGAAATGGGCAGGCAGGAATTTCATGAAGTTCGACAAGAAGTGTAAAGTCCTGCACCTGGGGGGGAGCAACCCCGTGCACCAGTACATGCTGGGGGTTGACTGTCTGGATAGCAGCTTTGTAGAAAAGGCCATAGAGGTCACAGTGGACACCAAGTTGAACATGAGCCAGCAATGTGCCCTGGCTGCAGAAGGCTAGTGGTTTCCTGGGCTTCATTAGGAAGAGTGTAGCCACCACTTCAAGGGGTATGATTCTCCCCCTCTCCTTAGCACTGGTGAGGCCACACCTGGAGTACTGTTTCTAGCTCTGCATTTGCTGGAATGCAGAGCTGGACAAGAGAAACATGGGCATACTGGAGAAGTCCAGTGAGATGATGGACTGAAGCATCTTCCGTAGGAGGAAAGACTGGGAGAGCAGGGACTCTGAGTCTGGAGAAGAAAGCTCAGGGAGCATTTTATCAAGGTGTACGGATACCTGAAGGGAGATTGGGAAGAAGACAGAGTCAGGCTCCTTCCAGTGGCATCTGGTGACAGACTGACAGACAATGAGCACAAACTATAGAAGAAATTCCATTTAAGCATTATATATATAATGGTTATAGATATATTTGTTGTGAGGGTGCTAAAATGATGAAACAAGTTTCCCATAGGGGACATGGAGCCTTTATCCCTAGAGATATTCAGAAGATGTCTGGACATGGACCTTGGCAACCTGCTGTAGGTAGCCCTGATAGAGCAGGGGTGCTGAACAAGATCACCTCCAGAGGTCCCTTTTACCTCAGCCATTCTGTGGAAAGGGGGACATGTCTGCAAGTCTATCTTCAAAAGATACTGAGTGCTGGTGTCATGGGCAGCTTCAAATTGGAGTGCTAATTTACGTAATTAGAATACAGGGTTCTAATATAACAATCTAATTGTATTTTTCTTCCTCAGAACTTCTATAGCCATGCTCCTGATCCCTTGGCACTTCGGTCATATATATGCTTTAATAATTTGGAAATACGAATTCTTCCATAAATGCAGGCTGACTGTAAGCGGTTTCACTTGACAGCTCTTGTAGATAGCCTCTAAACGGTAGTCTTTCAGCAAGGGAACGTTTCTTTTTTGAGTTTCCTGTGTGCATTGATTCAGCATGTTGAATGTCAAAATGTAATACTGACATGTTACATCTATTAATCATGTTTTCCAGTTTTTGAATATTGTATATTTTTTGCATTTGCAGCTAGTATTATATGTTAATGAGACTATAATATTTTTCCCATCCGTGTGACATCACTGTCAATTTTGTTAGAACTAAGGTTCAGTATATACGTGTCTCTTTGAAATATTAAACTGCAGTTATGGCATTTTGAATCAAGATATGGTTGTGAGTAAATAATTGTCAGCATGGCATTGAAAAACAGCCCTGCATTTCCACAAAAGTTTCTATTAATAGCTGACTCAGATATGGAATCTTTCTTTTCTATTGTCTCTGTGGAGAAAGTTAGCATCCCAGTTCACAGATAGTTAGTGGCTGTTCTTTGGAAAAAAATATGTGCTGGATTTCTCAGTTTGTTAATGTTGCTCATGATGGAGTGGCCTTAAAACTGCAGCTGCTGAATTGAGGAATGCCGTATGACACATCAAAAACACTTCAGTATCAGGATGTGATAAAAAAGGGTGAGGAGTCACATCTGAGCCAGCCTTCTAACATACCACTTTGCATGAACACATGCACAAAAAATCAAATTTTAAAGATATTTGAAGGAAGTGGATTAAAAATGTAACTATAGTTCTTTTATTTCTTCTCTTATTTCCAGGGTAGTGCGGCAAGAAGCAATTTACCACTCCAGTTAAGGTTTTAACTGGTGTGCAAAGTGTAGATAGCTAGATGCGTTTGTGGTAAGGAAGTAGAAAAGTGTTGTCTAGATTAAATGTTGGTGCTAAATGTTACCTTAAACTAAGAACAGGATTACTGCTTTCTAATACTTCTGAAATTTTTAATAGATCAGCACAATCATTTATTGAGAGAGATTTTCTCGTGTCAGTGAAACTAAATTTTACAGTAAAGGTAATGGTTATGGTCCTGATTCTGGAATAGTATTTCTATAGTTAGTCTATACACAAGTTGATCAGCTTCTTTGAAAGTATGTACAGGCATAAATATAATCCTCTGGAGCTAATAATTTTCCCCTAATCATAATCTTTGGGTGTTACACAGCTACAGATGGTGAAAAGTAATTACCAAATGCTTCTGCACTAAAGAAGTTAAGGCAGTGGATAAAAGATCAGA